AACTTTTATTGCACCAGCTACTTCCTCCTCTTTGTTCTTGTCTCTTTTATGGGCTATTCAGGATCCCAAACAACACACCAAACAGTGTTGCACGTTTAGTGTGCAAGTATTCACCCTACTGAGGAAATCAATGAGGGGGACCAATAGGCTTCTGCGGCTGCGTTTGAACAGACATTCTTTCAATAACGTATTGATTATTTTATTGGTATCTATTATGGCCTGTTGAGAAAATCCTTATAATGTGCATGATATTGTTAAAACTTAATATTTTACTTTTAATTCCGTTTTAAAAAGGCTGGATTTTTTTGCAAAGCAGTTAAAATGCTGTTAGGATAAAAAGTGCTTTTGACAATGTACAAAGGTGAAATAATTAGTTTTATTAAATATGATTACGACTGTGTAACACTGCTCTGTTTTCTATGAATAATTATGTTTGTTTTCGCCTCGCCCAGACACGCGTAAGATTTTCAATGGAAACCTTTTGGAAAAGTAATTTCCAAACCCGTCATTTTCTGCTGAGATAATTATCGGTTACTCTTCCCTCTGTGTGTGTCAGGGGAATGTCGAGGAATGATCAAGACAGGGCCGAAAAAAAAAAGAAAGAACACGAGCACTTAAAAGCATTCTCAAACACTACATTGTCTCAGCTATAACTTGTGTGCGTAAAATGAAAAGCGTACTTTTAATCACTGTGATTTAAAGAGACTGTACCTGAGACTAGCGAACACCGGTCTCTGCTGCCTGTGGAGGGTTTAGTCTGATGTGTTGGACAGTCGCCTAACTGATCTGATTTTCACAGACAGTTGGAATGATCTTCTTATAGACGCTGAATTCTTTTGTTTTTTTCTCCCTGCTAGTAAACTCGTTATTTCCTCTGTGCTGCTTGCTGTGCAGAGCTTTCATTGTGCTGCTTGAGTTGCAGGGCTCTGCTGCAGCAGAGATAGTTGTTGGTGAGCTGGGGAACGTCACTTGCTTTATTGCCCTCACAGAAGATAGACCATAAACGCATTCTTAACCACCTACACCCTCCCCCAGTTCACTGCAAAAACATGTAAATTGCTCACACGCCGGATAATTCAAACACAAATGGAAACATGCACAGTATGTTGAAAAGTCGAGATAAACAAACAAACAAAACGAATATTCATCTAAGTTTTCATACAATGGCGCTGCATCCTGGAAAACAGCATTGAGATTATGTAGAATATCTCTGCAGTGGTGTGTTCAAATTAAACCAGATTTTTATACATACACACGCACACATACACACATTCACACAAAACCACCAAAACCCACGGGAAATGGGTTTGCTTTATATCTGATTACTGGCATTATCCAACCTATTATCTTGATTTCACTCTTTTAAACCCATCTTAAGTTGAGCTCATGTGTGTTATGCTAATATTCCACCCTGATTTGACTGTGATCCCTATTCTGAATGACATTGGCCACATTTTTCATCCCCACTTCCTCTCCAAACACCACATTCTCTAAAAACTTCAAGTCAAAAATGCCTCATCCATCCAGGCTGCACAGACAGTGTGCCACTCCAACTCCACGTCGTGTTTATCGGCATTTAGCACTAATGTTCAAGCTCTGAGCTAAAAGCTACACTTTCTCTTCAACTCCTGCCTCTCAATTGGTGGAGACCGGTCAGCTGACGTTGTCATATTGTCTCTCACCGAGCCAAGCCTCGGCTATAACACTCGCGTTTGTGCGTCTTAACCGGAGATTGGAAATTAATAATATTGAATCCTCAAAGTAGCCCACGTCCAGTTAGAGAGGCAGAAAGTGGAGAGAGAAAAAAGAAGAGCTTGGAGAAAGGTGTGGTTGGTTGACACAGACGGGAAGGAGATTTACTGAGAAGGAGATTGAAAAGAGAGCGATAAAGAAGTGGGAGAGTTTGGAGAGAGGGTTACAAGCAAGGTATGAATTCGTATTTCGCAAACCCGTCGCTCTCGTGCCATTTATCGGGTGGTCAAGATGTTTTGCCTAACGTCCCCCTGAACTCCACCACCTATGACACAGTCAGACATTTTTCGTCGTACGGTGCCGCTGTGACCCAGAATCGGATATATGCACCTTTCTACTCCCCTCAAGACAATGTCGTCTTTGGCTCTGGCAGGGCACAGTACGAGTATGGATCAAACGTGTTTCTTCAGGACAAGGACGTGCTCCCCAGCTGCAGACAAACTAACATGGGACTCAATTCACAAAGCCACATTGCTCAAGAGTACAGTTTGGATCAAGGAAGAGCAGGATCGCAGGAGCAGAAAAGCAACATCCCGATCTACCCGTGGATGCAGCGCATGAACTCACACGGCGGTGAGTTTTACTACGACAAATAAATTAAGGAAATGGGCCACTTTTACGATATGTCTTACCAAGAGAGTAAGTTACTTTTTATGGCCCCATAAAACATTACTGTATCCCCTCGACCTGTAGATGGGCCTTTGCATGTGCAAACAAACACCTTTCATTTTAAGGAAGATTTAGAAGCCAGAGACGCGTGAGGCAGAGATGCATTATTGTTCTTTTATTAATTTAGATAATAAAGCAAATATGTCTCTCTAGATAGTCGTTCTGTTAAATGTATTCAAGTCTTTTTTTTTAAACATGTATTAAGATTATAACGTTAAACTTGTGCTCAAGTGCCTCAAAAGTATTTAGAAACCACAGACAGAAGCACATTTATTTTAATGTCAAATGAGATTGCCTTACAAATGATTGAATTAGTTCTTCCACTTTGTATCTCAGCAGGCGTGGGCTACGGGACAGACAGGCGCAGAGGACGTCAGATCTACTCTCGCTACCAAACCCTTGAGCTGGAGAAGGAGTTTCACTTTAACCGCTACCTGACCCGGCGCAGACGCATCGAAATCGCCAATGCGCTTTGTTTAACGGAGCGCCAGATCAAAATCTGGTTCCAGAACCGGCGCATGAAGTGGAAGAAAGAGAGCAACCTGACCTCCACGGTGACTGGAAGTGAACAGACAGGAGCCTCTCAGGAAGAGGAAGCACGCAGTGGCGCAGTGGAAGAAGAGAAGGATGAGGACAAGAAGAAAGAATAGTAAAAAAAAAAAAAAAAAAAAAAAAAAAGCACCATTCAACCCAACATAACTACCTAAAAAATCTACATGGACTTGAGAGCGACTTCACTGCATGATGGCTAAACCCCGCAGCTCTCCCACTTATACCCCATGTTGACCACAGGAGTGTTGAGCCTCAGAAATCCAAATTATTTCAGCCACAGTTTGGCCCCCTGTGACATGTGGAGCGCTCATGTTTTTTTTTTTATTTTACTTCAATGTAACACTAGTATTGTGAAAATAAAGAGTAAAAGTATTAATTTCTTCGTTTTTCCCATGCCAGTAAAACTCTGTGTATTTATCCCAAACACCCCATCAATCAATGTGAACTCTTTGATCACCTCTCAGAATACAGTGTTGGTCAGACCTAGCTCAGTATTGTACACGCACATTCCACGGAAGGACCGGACACTATCTGATCACGGTATAATCCACTACTTGAATAATGCGCGAAAAAAGTGTCCTGCTGCATAAACATGAAAGTTGCACGGTTATAGAATACACTCCACACACGTACACACACACAATTAAAATGCCTGTATATAACCCAAGTAACAGCATAATATGTCAACCCTATGAGGACTTATGTGCATTTAGCCGCTTAGACGCTACATAACATACAACTTGCGCTTTTAGCCCCTTTTTTATTTCATGGTTTGACACAATAGGTTTTCATTGTGAGATAGATTTGTACACTTGTAATTCTTCACTTTTGTTTGGGAATTCATGTTTTGTCATAAATGTGTATCATGGAATAAAATATTTGTAAAACTTTCACTCTTCTCTTGTATTTTTCGGAACCACTGCACTTTTAGACGTGGGTTAGATGGCCGCGTAAACACCGTTTATTAAAAGACGCACTAAACTCTGCGTAAAAGGAGAGGCGTACATGGCTAAATTGTAAGATCACGAATTGTATGGTTAGCGTAAAAACACTAGGTGAATTTAGTGAATAAAAAGCTCATTTTGCACTCCTATATGAAATTTCCCACTTCCTGATGATATTTTTAAAAGCGCGGGAATGAGCCATTATCAATTATCAAGTTTAACACTATAAAATTCCCGCATAGCTTTATATTACAACTCCAGATGTCCATATGCTTAAAAATAAGTTCATGCTTCAGTTTTTACCAAGGTGGGAGATGGTTGTTGATGTAATATTATTAGGCTATTACTATTATAATAATAATAATTTTTATTTTTATTATTATTATATTTGAATGTTGGTGGACTCGCGGTGTGTCAGGGATCTCTGGCCGCTCTGACCGTCCTGCTCCATACCAGACACCAGATGACGCTCTTGTCTTACTGTCCTGCCCCTTTTCGCGCTAAACACCCCTGCCTGGTCCTCAACAACCAACAGCTCAAAGTTTACCGGACACGTTTCTCCTATTCATCAATATCCCCATTGAGTATCAAAGCCAATTTATGACTGGCCAACATGTGCACGTGATCCCATACAAATACCCCATATTTGGGCAGCGCACGTCGGATCAAGAATTAAAAAAAAAGATACCAAAGCCTACTCCACCTATAAATCCTGGGTTATTTTTTTAGAGCAGACAGCTGTGAATTTTCAAAAGCGGCTACAAAGAAAAGCAATGATCAACAAAAACAAGGAAATACGCGCAGCTTCCATCCTGCAGCTCTCTCTAGTTTCAAATAAACTAGTTTAAAATGAGCTCTTATGTTGACAGCTGCCATCTCCGGCAAACAAGCGAGACAACTTCTTCTAACAGTATGTTTAGTTTCGATGTATCTGGGCGCAGGTCCAGCCACTATGAGGGTGTTAATGTGAGCGGGATATTCACTTGTCCCGTCCCCACGACCTCTGCTGAACGGGAGGAGATGAAAACTAGCCTGCGTGGCAGTGCGGATACTCCTCTCCCGGCTGGACCACAGATAACCATGGTCTCCAGCAGCTCATCCGGGGAAGACGCAGGCGGGCTCAGCTACGGCAGCAGCACTCTGCTGGGACTAGGGGCGGACCGAGACCCGGAGACGAGCGCGAAACCCGGCAGCAACAACAGCGAGGAGAGCGAGAAATACGCGGAGAAGACGCAGGCGGTGAAAAGAACCTCAAAAATGAGCCAGCGGCAGGACAGTGAGCAGCGACCACAGATTTATCCATGGATGACAAAGCTGCATATGAGCCACGGTAAAGTTTGCCTATTTCCTAAAGTGCGACTGAGATGCTTTCCCTTATTCACTCTTTACGCTGCAACACTTCTTTTCGCCCGTTCCACTTTCCCCTCTTGAGTTTTATAGGCCAAACGCAGGAAATAATAAAAACTCGCGGTCATAAATTTTATGACAAAGGCATCCATTGCTCGTAAACCTGCTCTGTTACGGTGAAGAGGTGATCTGCGGGTTGATTTATGGTGCTATAATTGGATAAGAGAAGTAAACTGTGATAAAACTATGGAATAATATTTACAAATTCCCTTTCCAAGAATAAGTTTGTGTCTTGTTTCTTTTAATAGCCTTATTCTAACTTCATGTTTTTACATGATCAGACTGTATGTGTGGGAGAAGCTTTAGCCTTAAACTGAACTCTGGGAAACACCACTGCCCTGACCCAATCGTGAACTTTTCACCTCTAAAACATTTCAATAGGCGTGTTCTTTCTCCCTTCCTTGAGAAACCACTGGTTGACTGTTCAAGCTGCAGATGGACAGTCTGCATTTGTTGAACACACACAAAAAAAGGACGTACTCTGTTATGCGTTGCTCCATAAACAAACATGCAGGCTTGCACACACAGCTTGGACGTTCAAAATATTTCAGTCCAGTAGAAGGCCTGTTGCTTTATTTAGCACGCATGTGGTCGAGCACGTCTATAAGTATGGCTATAGAAAAAAAATATCTCTGAGAAACAATAATTCCCCTTGCATCATCTTTATATTTTACACATCTGTTTGTCCTCCCACGATGTTATTTTGCCTCGTGCAGCAGGTATTATATGCCGAGGTCAGTGTTTACAAGGAGGCCAGTGCATTATTCGTTATCCCATTTTACGTATAAAATAGTGTTTCTTAAATGGAATAAACTTGTTTGCTTTTATGCTTTGTTATGAAATAAAATGATGTAGGCTACAGTAAATGGCCTTCTCCTTTTATGTTAAATTTATGTAGGCCTATAAGATCTAGTTAACTATCCTTTTTCAGCCTGACATACATTTTAATAGAGCCACAGTAAGTTTATATCAGGTTAGATTAGGTTAATTTAAGATATCTGAGATTTTTAAGGAGGGTGGACGGGACATAAATACAAAGAAGTTGCGTGTAATTCTGCTTTATGGATAGCAGTGCTTTTAAAATGTAATTATAACATTATCACCCTTTTACTATATTTATTTATCTCTATAATGCTTCTGAAATCTAACTGATTTCAATACACCTTCAGAATCGGAGGGCAAGCGCTCCAGGACCAGCTACACCCGCTACCAGACTCTGGAGCTGGAGAAAGAGTTTCACTTCAACCGCTACCTGAGCCGCCGCAGGCGCGTGGAGATCGCACACACCCTGTGTCTGAACGAGAGGCAGATCAAGATCTGGTTCCAGAACAGACGGATGAAGTGGAAGAAGGACTCCAAGATCAAAGTGAAGGAATAAAACAGAAAAAAAAAGTGCAGCAGTGAGCACACATTGTCAGCCCCACCGTGCTGCACCACACAGTGCTGGAGTGGCGCGTGACCTCTGGATGAACTGCGAGGAGCAATGACATCATGACACCGCGCTGTGTGCTTCATCACCAATTATGTGTCACTTGCTGCAGTTTGGGACCTAATGTATTGAATATCACTCACTTTGATCAATCGGTTTACATTTCTAAATTAATTTGCTGCCCATGCGATGATAAGCTCACTTTGCTGCACGAAGGGGACACAAGGCTGAGGGGGAGTTGCTGGGTCCTTCTAGCTGCAAGGCTCAATGCTCTGCAGTGCACTGAGAGGCTGCACAATTATACTTACACTCTGTCTCCTGATTAAGGTAAAAGTAGAGCAGGGTGGGTAATAGACGATCTTTTTTTTTTTTTTTTATCAAACGAGGAAACATTAAGGTCAAGCATTCAAATAAAGCGAGACACATTTGTGACTGCTTTGGAAATAATATTATTAAATAGTTTCCCAGCAGTATGAACTACTTCCTTTTCTTGTTTTTTTTAATATGTTGCAGTGAAAACTATACCTTAGGATGTGTGATGTGTTCAGTGAGCTAATATTTGTGAGTGGATTTCTGTCCATGTTGTCTGTCCTTTCCCTGTGAATCTAAATCATAGTGTGTAATTCAGCGACTGTGTGTGGTAATATTGTGATGTGCAATGAAGCCATTTCTGTACACTCTGTAAACTTTATGTGCCTGGTTTAAAACAGGGCCAAGAAAAACTGGTAGATGGCTTAAGTTTGGATTGTAACCAATAAAATCTCATCAATTAATCCACATTTCTTATTATTCTACTTTATCGGTTTTGCGGCAGAATGACATAGCGGGCGTAGTCATCTGCATATAGAAACGCGATTTTAAAATGATCCTTTATCTTTGGTTTTAACCAATGTTGACGTATCAAGTCTGACTCTAAATCCTCTGAATTTCTCTGATTGTCAAACGCGCTCTGAAGTTTAATGCCCTCGTAAAACTTTATTACCCCTCTTCCAGTCCTGCACCACAGGCACACTTGGTTTCCTGTTTAGTCAGGGAAGGAAGACACACTATCTAGCCTGTGATAACATTCGCCCACAACACAACGTCGATGCAAAACTTTGGTTTCCTGTGGCCGCAGACGGACGATCTATGCACCACAGTGGAGGCCATATGGCACCATTATGATACGGCCCTGCGCTTTAATCCTGGCATCATTACGCTGCAGTTAAAAGAACACGTTCTGCTGCTTTAGAGGACATACAATCGCACAGGTTGCTGATGTAGAAGTTGTAGTAGTAGTAATGTTGCAGTTTAACCCAAGGTTAGGAGGCAATGTGTGACTATCACTACTCAAGTAAATAAAAATACACTCACCTCTCAAACTAAAAGCTTCCTATTCAACTTCCTGGTCGGTTAAGAGAACCGGTCAGCGCAGCGTCCACTTTCTCTGCGCTCTGCTAGGCCTAATCTTTAGATGGACAATGCATTCAATCCCCCTTTTCTATGTCTTTCTTTTAGGGTATTTTAAAGTTTACAAGGTTAAATATGCCAATTGCCCCAAGCAGGGCCTGTGAATGGTGCATAGGGAACACGTGGTGTCATTTAAGTGGGTTTTATGGCCTGGAAGAGCTGACAAACCTTCGATATATACACATCATATATAATCTTAACTGTCCGGAATCGCAGCTGCCGGCTTCCCCTTATCTGAGGGAGAAAAGGGCTTTGTGGCAGTGAGGATGCAGTACCTTTCTCCGGACTGAGTGAGAGGCGGCTGCTGCGGAGAGCTGCACGCTGCAGTAAGTTCATTTTGACTTTGCACAGGCCCGCGACTGTGCCGTGATTTGAACGGGGCGGAAATATTGTTTATCTTTTAGATGTGTGCATTGTTGTTTTTTTAAATACATGTAAAAAAAAAATAATAATGCTAATTTACGTTTTTATATACGTTTTCTAATTATAAAACAGTTGTGTTTTGAAGTAGCCGGTAGTTTAACAGATACTATAAAGGGTATGTTGTGGTGCATATTAAGAACGACATAATCGGAAGATGAAAATGTATTGGGGGGGCTGGGGGGGTTATAAGTATTATATTTACTCAGAATTACCTCTATAGCCTCTTAAATGCAGATTTTAATCTTAGGGAATACAAGGAAAATCGGGAGATTGATTTGCACAACAGTCAGTGTGATTCAACAGATTTGCATGTTATGGTTCTGTCAGTAAGAGAGAGAAAATGAGAAGTCAGCCACAACTATCAAAAATCATCTGGCGTCCAACTTTGCCCTCCTTTCTACCTCCCTCGTAAACATGCCCATATAGTTGTTGTTTTTTTCATGCACATCTTACTGCTGATTTTATGAATCAACAGTTTATATTTAATTGTTAGAAGTCTCATATTTTGGTTAAATGGCGCAGTTCGAAGGAAAGGTGTTCATTTTAAGCCAACGAGTTGTTCTGTGTCGATGTTAAAATACTGAATCGTATAACAAAATACACAACCTTCTCATACAGATGCCTCTTGTCACGGTTTCACCTTGGTGTCATGTTAGAGTGTGTGCTCCTGTTGTTTTAGGGTCATGTCTGGGCCAAGAGACAGTTTTGTTTCAAAGGCACAGCAGTCTAATTATTGTGGCGTCGTCTGAATTTAACCCCTTGTAAAAAAAACATTGAAGACGTGACTTCTTCATGTTAAACAAGAATGCATCTTCTTTGTAACAAACGAATACTTGTTTTGCACTCCTTATATTCGTGCTAACTTGTTGTCCTCGTGCGGAGGGAGATAGCACTGAAGTGATCAGTTTGGAGACTGATGAGGCGATGTGATCTTATAGTCCAATCATTTTCCGTAGGGCAGCTGATTTAATTGCTCGTAAGTCTTGGAACGCAGTTTAGCTTATAAATACTGGTGTTTGTTAAATCAATGTGTGGAGCTGCAAATGGCTCATTTTGATATTAAGTCTGGTTTGTGTGAGTGCAGCTCAGCTCACACAGAGAGAGAGAGAGAGAGAAAGAGAAGGCTGCAGCAGGGTGTGTATGTGCTGACTGTGATGCTGTATATTAACTGCATTTATTCAACCTTGTGTGTGTCAGACTGCGTAATATATTTTTTGTATTCTTTAAAAAAACTGGTTATTTTTTTTCATTTTGTTGGTTTGTTTTCAAGTGTGTACGATGATCTGTTATACACCTCCAATAGGGGGCGCTGTGCAACATGCTGCTGTGTTGGTGACGTTTCACTGTTGTGGCTATGTAACCACGGAAGGGCACTTTGCATCCAAAGATTTGATTTAATTTGACCCTATTCTTGAGAAACCTCACTGAAATATTTATAACATCAAAGAGGAGGACATATTTAATCATGAGCTCTCTAAGTAAAATTAAAAATAACCCATAATAGACAGAGTAATTGTGCTTCAAAGCATTTATATATTGCTATAAATTATAAACAAATTCAATGCTTAAAAGGATTATTGTTATCATCTAAATGTTTTAATTTTCAAATCCTTTCACTTTTTTCTCAGTAGGAGGAAGCTTGCAGTAAATCAAACATTATTCTAACGTGCAGAAAGACAGTCCATCTGAAATCAGTGTAATACCAGCTGAGTAAAAGTGAGACAGTGCAAACATCCGTTTTCTCCACCGTGTTCGGCGCTCTTGTGTTCCTTTCTCTGACCTGTGGAGCTGACAGTCATCATTCACACACACAGGTCATTTCCGGGTGATCACAGACTTCCCTCTTTGTCTGAGTCCAAATAAGAACCATAAACTTTCATTACAACGTTTCCGAACAGGGAGCGAATTTATTTACAATGTGCGGACATAGCCGTGATTCTTTTATTGACTGCGCGCCATAATTCAATCGCCATGAAGTCCAGGGATTTCTAATCATAGAACATTTGCCTAAGGAAATACAAAAACGTCTGTAAATTACATTTTTACTGTCTGAAAATGACCCGTCCTCGTTTTTCTGTCCTCGGTCCAGTTCTGCTGGCCACACATGTCAGAGATTTTCTAGGACAGGCTGCTTTTAATAAGGCTGGAAACAGATGATCAAAGCAGAGGGACACAAGGACCATTAATATGAAATAATATCGCCACATATCATAACGTGTGTTTTTTTTTTTGCTTTATGACAGCCATGAGAAATTCACATGCAAAGAATGCTTAGAAATCAACAAAATATGAAGGCCTTATATGGTTTTGCTCATATTGTCATTTGATTCAGTTTTAGTTATCATTAAATGATTAAGGTGTCGGTTTAAATATTTAACATGCACAGTGCATCCATTCACGAAAACGCTTTTTACGCGTGCTGTCTGTTTTTATCAAAAACTGAAAGCTCGATTAATCAGGAAATGTCCGGTGGACTACTGTTTTGTTCGAAAGTTTATATTTGAAGTGTTTTGGAAAATGCTTGCATATTTTCTTGTAGTTAAATATTTTCCTTTTGGATGCCAAATTAAAAAAAAAAAAAAACGTTTTTAACCTCGAGGTCGAGTAATTCTGATCTAATTTTTATTTTCTTTCTTTTTTTTCCAGACTGTTCGCCTGGTCAAAACGAAAGGCACCGTGGATTTCTCTGTAAGTGTTACCCATCGGCCCTCGCCTCTGCACCTGGTTTCAGTCAAGAGCTGTGACACTTCATGCAGCTCGTTATTTAGCTGCAGGCAAACAGCTGGCTCCACTGACATCACAGCTACTGATGCCTGTGATCTTAAGCAGTTTATTTAGGGAGTCTGGTGTTTGTGTAAGGACACTTATTGTTGTTACTTCCAAATCGAACTTTTATTATTTCAAACATTAACAACACAAACAAAACTTCAGCTGTGATTACAATCCTCCTGCAGTCTACTTTGGGTCTAGTTAATATCTAGAAGAGTTGTACTCTTGTTGCACAGGTGAGCTGGACTCACCTCTGCAGCAATGAACCACAGCATTTCTGTAATGAGCAGCAAAGCAAACAATGGTTTCTGTGGGGCATCTAGTATTCAAAAGCACCTCTGCTCCCCTGGCTGCTGCTTTTAAAGGCTCCTCATACCCAACTGGTCTCTAGTCTGTCTGCACTTCATTAAAACTTTTTATTTTAACTGGACGCTCCAGTTTAACGTTATTGCACCTGGGGAGGATGCACGTGTAGAGGCTATTAGGTTAAGGGTTTGATTAAATGTTCATCGTAACCATTTTCATCAGGGAGCGGGGAATATTGCTCTTCATGCTGCATCCAGGTCAGCTGCTGCTGCTGCTGCTCCTCCAACAAATTAAAAAAAAAAAAAAAGAACAGACACAACAACAAGGTCCTCTACATACTTCTGCACAGATTTATTCTGTTTACATATGTACATGTGTGAACACGCTTTTAGTCTGGTTACTTTACAGGGAGGGGAATAGGAAAAAGAAGGAAGCTTAACAATTCCTCAAATGAACAAATGAAACATCAAATTAGTCCGCCCGAGGGCCTCATTTTTTGTACTTCTACATTATAACTAGTTATTGAACTAGGTGCACGATCTGAAAGCCATTTGTGGGGAGAAGGAATTCATTGCTGTCTCTCCATCAATAATCCTTGGCAGTGAACTATTGGAAGCAGTCAAACGCGAGGGGTGAAACGCGGGTCAGGCTGTCTAACTAATATTAAAATGCGTCCGCCAGAGCGCACGAGGAGAGGGGGAGTGTGGTGTGCACGCAGCAGCTCGGGTGCACAACAAACAGCGTGTATTTAGATGAGCATATGACAAAGCCAAAGGAACCTGATTGAGGATTTGTGGTTATTTTCTCCTTCATAATCAGGATGTTGTTTTACTCTTAAATACAGAATATCTGTTAGACTTATCATCAGATTGCACGAGGAGAAATATGTAAATTGAGAGTTTTTTTTTTTTTTTACATAGACTGAAGTCACCACTGCATTTCCACTGTAATCAATTCCATTGATTCACAATCCGAGCATTTTTGCTGTTTTTAATAACCCCCGAACAGGTCACATGTCTGATATTACATTTTTCATCCGAGGCTTTTCTCATTAGCTCTCGCAGTGGCAGGAAGCAGGGTTACCGAGCGGTCAGTATGGTAATGAAGAGCACAAGAAATGGTTGGGAACAATAGAAACTTATTTTTCATCTGTGCTGTCACGCCGTCCCTTTGTACGCTCCGTGTTTGTGACTGAATATTCATATAGGAGCTACCTCAAAGGCAGAGGGTGATTTAGAGAAAAGGGGAGTCTCTTGTCCTTTACGCACGGCGTTTTTGTGGGTGCGTGTGTGTGTTGTTGTAAGCATGGAAAATATGTTAAAGTAGTTCTAAATTCTTTATTTTCTTTTATATATTTTATAAAAGATGAAGTGCTCCACTAACCCCTGGTGAACAGCTGCAGCTTTTTGCTTTATTTCTACCTTTTTGCGGTATTGCATGCCTTTCTAATTTCAGACATGAGAACCTACTTGCAGAAAGGTTTGCCTGGGAGATCCTCTTTGAAGCTTCTTACCTAAACAATTAGTTGTCTATATGTACCCTGTAGAACCGAATTTGTGTGAAGTCCAAACAGTCGCAAATACGTCTCTACAGGAATACATGGGCAACTGAAATACCACGCCATCAAGCCAATGGATTCTTCTTCTTCTTCTTCTTCTCTCTCTCGCTCTCTCCTTTTGCTTCTACATATCCCAGCATCAGTAATAAACACATAGGCCTACATGCAGGCTTGAGCAACGCAATAACACTGTCACAACGTGTATTCACAGTGCAGACAGCCGTAGATTGTGCAGGCAGGTTAGGCCACAGAGAGTAAAGCCATGTGTGCAGTGTGGAGGCTATACTACTGTGTCAGAGCCTGTAAAACACGTTAGGAACCAGGGGTCGTTTATAAGTGACTGATTTATGGCTTTTATTGCTCTATAAAACGCCTCTAACATCCTCGCGAGGGCTAATAGAAATGTCGCGCGCATTCTGTACAAACAGGAAGGCTAGAAATGTCATTTCACGTCACTGTTACTCATATTACTGTGTAGTTCATTCTGAGGAAATGGATACATGAGTTAAGTTTTTATCTCCATGCTGTTGACCATAAGATTGACTTGTTTATATTCAGGTCTATTGTTTCCTCAAGTGGGACTCCAGAACTTTTGGTTAAAGTTATATTACTGTTATTATACTGTGGGACATTTTTATACTTGTTCTTTTGCTCCAAAACTAACTTCATAATAAAGAGGAGGGCGTTGCATGGAGGCTGCTAAGCTATCAGTGACATCTGACCACAGCAAAGTGTGGGATGGGAAGTGAAAGCAAACAGCAGCACATGACAAGTTTATACATTCAGGCAAGATCAGTTTACAGAGGAATAGCAGACCTCCAGTGAAGTGGGGATGGTTTGTGCCTCTGCCATGATTGGTGCATATTTGGAGTTTGGAGGCTATACAGTCCTAGCTGGAGACAACATGAAAACTTGACTTGATTTTTATATATTGATTATTAATGGGATTATATTAAAAAATATATATTACATATCTGTTGCATTTCTAGCAGTACATTTACGTATTTCCTTTCACTAAGCTTTGTCTTTCATAATATTTTGGTTGTAGCTTGTCCTCACAGGTTTAGTTGACTGTGAAGTGACATCTAACAACAAATGCCAGAAGTCGTCTTTCAAGTTAAGACAAAGGATAAGAACATTTAAATGTTGTTAAAACAGAGATCCATAAGTAGAGATCAGTTCAATGAAGTATTTTGTTTGAAAAAGCCTCTTAGGATGAATAAAGTAGCATTTTTTGCAATATAAAGAACAAAGTCCCCATCTGTGAAAGGACTGAATCCTGAATCCTAAATTGCCTTACATTCTCATGCTCCAACAACCAAATGTAATGTAACACCTCTGAGCCACTTTACACTTATCTGCAGTGAAGTCAGCAGATCATGATGTCCTGAGACTGGTCTGCCTGTGACTCCATAATGATACTGGTCCTCTTCTTCTGGATGTCTGACATCATAACGGTTGCACCCACTGCTTACTGGCCTGATGCTCTACACAGTTGTGACATGTGACTGCACGTCTATGATTTTACTTTGGGATTATTGAGTTAGTTGTGTTCCTGATCATCATTATCGTACAATTTCACAGCTCTCTGCTAGTATTCATTGGTAAGGCTGCTCATCATAATATTTAAATATACATATGCGTGGCTTTTGTTGTGTCTTTCATTGTTAGAGGTTTTATTAAAGGTTAAAGTTACATCGTACACTTGCCTATTCTCTTTTATACACTTTTTGCATCTTTCAGTTGGATCACAATAACATTTCTTAATAGATTTTTTTTTGCTCTATTATAAAGAAGAGTTTTGCTGATATTCAAAGCAGCTTCAAAATACCTGTAAGCTTGAGAATCCTTACCTCAATCTCTGCCTATAGTTATTCAATTTTAAGTTGCAGGCCGAATGTTTTAATTAACAACCCAGAAGAAAAAACATAGAGTAAAACATGGTTAAAATTGGATTCAGTTCTCAGTCATTAGATGATCAGGCCTGTTTCAAACATCAACCCCTCCTTTAGATCATCTCACCCTCCAGTCCTCCTCTGACATTTAGATTCACCATAAACCTTTAAAATATGAGTGCTGAAATGCTCTTAGAAATATCATCAAAACTGCAGCAGCTCTATAACTCTTAAGTGTATTAATGGTGCGTAATGTGCTTCACAGCTGAAGTGCTGTTGCTAAAGACTTCATTAATTAGCAGATAACCTTTGTATAAGGCGTGCAGGCTAACAAAATGATTGCTTTGCTATTGTTGTGCCTTATCCTTGGCGAATCACCTATTGTCCCTTTGAATAATTGAGACCAGTGGATTTTGCCTGTTTTATTTTTTCCTTGGTCAGCAACTAGCTACTAGTTTTGTCCCCAAGATCAATTGCTTTGGTAACACAACCAGAGAGGGAGAGGGAGAGAGAGAGAGTGATAGAGAGAGATAGGGGGAGAGAGACAGGGAGAGAGATTTGTGCCCACAATGGCGACTGTAGGTATGCTAAATACCTCTGGTTCCTTATCCGGGAACTACCTCTTACTCCGCGATTGGGCCACTGGGTCACGTGGTAAAAGTAACTTTACAGGGCTGCTCGCAAGTAGGAGGGCTTTATGGAGCAGAAAAACGACAAAGCTAGAAAAATTATTTTCCACTCCAGAAATTAATGATCATGAGCTCGTATTTGATGGAGTCTAACTACATTGATCCGAAATTTCCTCCATGCGAGGAATATTCGCAAAATAACTACATCCCAGAGCATAGTCCAGAATTTTACAGCCGCGCGAGGGACAGTGGCTACCAGCATCACCACCAGGAGTTATATCCTCCGCGGGCGAGCTACCAAGAGCGCCAGTTTAACTGTGCAAGCATCCCTGAACCTGACACGCCACGGGGACATGGAATACCCCAATCTGCGCACCTGCTGACAGGGAAAGGGCAGCCTGCCTCATGTGAAACCCCACAGTTGTCCATGTCCCCCGCCACCCCACCGGCCGCCACCTCCGCCTGCAACCAAGCCACCCCGGAGCATCCCAACAGCACAGCCTCCTCCAAGCAGCCCGTGGTGTACCCGTGGATGAAGAAAATTCACGTCAGCACTGGTAGGCAACTTGTGTGTTTATGTTCCCTGCACTCCTCATGCTCCTCTCTCCCTCTTTTCCCTCCCTTTATCAGTCCCTCTGACTCCCATCTCGTTGCCAGCCCCTGCTCCGATAGCAGGGAAGCCTTTGAAATGGCACAATTGAGGCGGATTTACGACTCGGCATTGGTAATTACACCCACCATAAATTTTATAGCCGAGGTATACTCAGGGCAGCCGTATCACCATGTGGCTTCTGCTGTTATGTATTGCGCGATGGAGAGAGAGGGGGAGAAATGAATAAGAGAAAAAATTGAGCTTTGTAATCTTGCATTAATAATTTAGCTCATAGTTGGATGTGAGTGTCCTCTCATTACGCGGAGAAGTTCTTAACTTCCCATTTAAATCCCTCAAACAGCCAAACATTCATATCCAATAAATCTTTGCAGCCATATCTCAGTTGAGGCCATTCTTGTTTACCCCTCCTTTCCTCCCTTCTCTGTCTCTCCATTTCTCCTCTTTCCAGTGAACTCGGCGTACAATGGGACGGAGCCCAAGCGGTCTAGGACAGCTTACACCCGGCAGCAGGTCTTGGAATTGGAGAAGGAATTCCACTATAACCGATATTTAACTCGGCGGAGGCGCATCGAGATCGCCCACACCCTAGTTCTCTCCGAGCGACAGATTAAAATCTGGTTTCAAAACCGCAGGATGAAATGGAAAAAGGATCACAGGCTGCCGAACACCAAAGTGAGATCCTCCTCTTCCTCCGGCTCCAACACAGGCTCAGCAGCAGGCGCTGTAGCCGCTGCCTCGGCCACTAACACAGGGGCCCCCGACGAACTGACCGGAGCGCAGCATGCCGAGGATATTACCAGGTTATAAACCCACGAGCCAGAAAAAGAACTGGATATTTATAGAACAATTCTATATTTTGTTTTGGTAGCTATCTTGTGCGGTTTCCTTTAAGTCCAAAGTTATATAAAATGCATGTTATATAGCATGGATTACTGCGAACACCGATGAATTATTTTTACGTGACACAGGGTTTAATTTATTTGAAGCTCAATTAAAATGTTTTTTTATTAAAAATGTTTTGAATGAAGGAACAAAAAAAAGTAGAAAAATATACATTTTATCAAAATGTTATTGTGGGCCATTCTTTTTGCCCTGCTGCCCAATAAGGTGAAATGCACAATCTATTTATTTCAAACAACACTGGAAGGAAATCCATATAATAATAGTTATTTTTGGTATATAAAAAAAGCTGGAACACACCATTGATCTTGAACTTGTTTGTTTTGGATAATGTGTGAAATTACCTCGTGTATTTCAAAAAACAGGATTTTGATTTACAGTTTAGTTTTGTGGTGTTGATGTTGTGTTTTAGACCGTTAAAAAGCAGATTATTGTGAAATGCAATAAACGGAGTGTAGTGTACTTGTGCTAATCATATTGGTCAATAAAACAGTGAGTGTCTACTAGTTTTAAATACGTTTGGTCGAACCTTTATTTTAGGCAAGATGAGGTCTGCTTTAATACAGTTGTTTGGAGGAAATCATATTTAAAATTGTACACGTGTGAATATTTAAACAATTCTTGAAGGAAACAAGAACCACTGTTTTCAATCTTTGTAAATCCTGCAGCTCATTCTGGAGTCTTGAAATTAGCAATGTGTACAGCCTGTGAGTGTGTGAGGCTGTATGTGTGTGAGTATGTGTGTGTATGTGTGTTACTTCTGGCTCATAATGGACTGAATATTTCTAAAATATGAGAAAGAAATAGTTTGCGCTCTGCATTATGTGCCACCTCATCAAGCTGGAGGGCATTCAATTAGCGTTAAAGACGTGAAGCCAGCGAGGCCCTGAACGCAACACTGCGCTGCCTCTCTGCTCCCTGCGCCCTGACCTCAACACAAAGCTGCATGCCATTCATTTAGAGGACATTTGCAATGTGTGACACATTTTAGATCGTTGTGCAAATATTCTGAATCATTTTGTAACTAGTTGCTCTGCTTTTTCTAGAGTCCACTGCGCCATGCGACTGAATTTTCAAATGTAAAAAATAAAATAAATAAAATAAAAATAAAAAAAAAAGTCATGGATTGCAGAGATTGAGTGTAATTCGTCATATGGTGTTCGTTGGGGACGGAGATGGAGGAAACTCGCTGGTCTTTGGTACCAACTCTGCAATGATGCTGATATTTTCCTGTGTGTTGTTTACTCTCTCGTTTCCCCCCACATTTCCCTGCTCTCTCCCCATTGGGTCAGTGTGCAGCAGCTCGCGAGAATTCAAAAAACTACATTTAAAAAAAAAAAAACGTGCTCAATGCAACGTCATCGCCCGCTTTTCATTTGGCAGGAGGGCTAACAAACTAAAGGACTATTTACGAATGTATATGCTGGACTAATCCAACAACATGAGAAAATATCACACAGACTGCACATTCATTGAGGTTTCTATTTGTTTTGTTTTTGTTTTGTTTTTCTCTCTCACACTGATGCATTCTTCTTTTTGTTGTTGTTGTTGAAAAATGTACGCAGAAGGATTCCAGTTGAACCATGACTTAAACCCAAAGACGTGCTAGAATTTGATAGATTATTGAAATAGTGACATGAATAGGCCTTATATAAAATGCCTCGCGTAGTGGGGGAGCTCGAGAGCACAAAAGGAAGAGGTATTCTCCATCATCAATCTTTCACAACACAGCTTTGTGTTATGTTCGGGAAAACAGCTCTGGCTACAGCCAGTGTCGATCCTTGTAAATATGATGTACCAGCCTGTAAATCGTGTAACATTATTCCAAAACGTGAGCTTTTAAATGTACTCTAAAATAACTCAATTTATCTGGACCAAAGCGGACAGAATCTGCCTTTAGAAGAGGCTTTGAGAAGCCACTAGAATGGTGTTGAGACGGGGTTGAAAAATGAATCCACGAGCCTTTATGTTGCTGGACAGATTAGAGAAATTAATGTGCGCGCCACAGTCGCAGCATCCCTCCGCTCCCTTTCTCGGCCCTGTCGCCTCCATGTCGCGAGGCTGAAAAGCTACTTTATTGAAGTTTTGGGGCGAAGAGGGAAAAGGCCGAGTTCACCTCGAGGACACATTTTCTGTCCCATTACGCTCATTTCAGTCTGGATGGCCCACCTCTCCCACCCTGTGACCTGACTCCTTCTGTACGCGCGCTGCTCCCCATTGGCCTCGGCTTTCTTTTGTGGATTTTTCCTCGTTGTGCCCGTAAAGAGGCCTGCAGTGGGGCAGCACTGAATGTGTACCTCTCCTTTTGTTAATCAGTCTGACCTAGGACTGTGCTGAACTCTCATACAGACCTGCAAGACCCCAAAACACGCGTCTTAATTTCTGAGCATCTTTTAAACAGACCTGAAAACTATTTGTGGTCACGTCGAGCGGACATTACGCAGTGAGAACACGATTAGGGCCTACGACAATAATACAGGATTGTTTGAAAACCATTCATGAATCTGGTAATGCGCAATAGAGGTCTTTAAAAACACCTAATGGGGAAAACATGTTTGGTTTTTTTGCGTGTATTTTATAGGCATTTTTCTTACTGATTCCCAAAAGACATGTGTAACTGATAAATTTATGAAAACAGCTAAAATTAGCGTTACATGTTAAAAATGTCACTTATTAACCACTTTCAGAGGTTAATTACATTCCCCAAAGTGTCCAAAAAACCAGAGGCAGTAAAAATAGCCTGGTGGTCATATGACTTCTGTGTGACTTGAGAGAATAACTGGCCTCAGGTCAGTACTTCAGCTCAAAACTAAGCTGCCAATTATAGCCAGGTGTTTGTGACAGTACTGGGACAGTTGGTCATTATGATTAGTTTATGGACAGGGACCTTCAAGTTCAGTCACAAAAACCTTCAAACTTCCACAGACACTTCACTCCTCCAGAAAACTTTTATTTGAAACCAAATGACATTTTCGTCCAGTAAGAAATCATTAATTTATTGATCGTTTAATGTAAGATTGTTCAAAAGAATAACAAGTAAAATGCCAAAGGTATTGCATATGTTTTATATAAATTAGATTTATATGCTTCATTGTTTTCATTTTACTTTATTTGGAGAAAGGTCTTTATTTCAATTTATTCTTCTTCTTTTCATACACTGAGTAACGCGTTTATTCCTTTCTGGTGTGTAGAGGACCAAATATTTGACACCAGCATGTTTACAAAGATAAACAGCTGACAGACGTTCATGTCCAAACAACGGATCCAAGTGTCCATCAAGTGAAAATCTAGTAGACGGAGCTCAGATTACACCCCAAACAAAAACACCGTGTCACATTTGTTTGAGCTCTTGTATCGAAGATTTGTATGAAGTACAAAGAGAACATTATGGATAATCTGCGGATATTTTCTGTTGTGACTTTTTGTTGATTTAGGATTTAATCAAGAAGCCCATACAAGGCTTTTCTGAGAATAAGCAATACGTGATTTAAGATGTTTTATACTAAAGCTTATGCTGCTTGTCTGTCATAAATCAGTCAGTTTGTTGTTTGAATTTGGGATAATGGGCACAGATTTATGCTCTATATCATTTCACTTACATTCTTTCAGATCTAAGATAGTGTGTTCATTTATAAAACTAAGATTGTATGATCATCCATTTAACATGAATTAAAGAAATAACAGAAAAACACAAATGAATGCCAAAAAAAAATCGAATTGTTTTCTATTTTCTTTTTTTTATTTTATCAATGAGATCCATTCTTTGAGTTTGAAACAAACTGTAATTATTATCGAAGCATGCCGTTTTTAAGAGTAACTTAAAGAGTCTAATTCCTCCCCTCAGCACCTCGGTGTGTTTTCTGTGTTTGAAGTTCACTGTTTAAATCCCTCCTCACTTACTCAGCCTCTAACTGCTTTACTTTCTGACTGCAGACTGTTGAATCACGCACATGATTTCAGCTCACAGTGCACCGCTGCAGGCTGCAGGTTGTGATTTATGAGCACCTCGGGCCAGGACTCTCTCTTTGAGGATATAAAAACTTTACACAAACAGCCTTCGCAATGTTTGAACAAGAGCAAATGCCAAATAAATATGACTAGCTGTCTTAACGGCGGCATAGTTTATAATAATACGGTTTTATTAAACCAAAAAATAACCGTCTTTGATTCTTTTCCCTCGTTCACTCGTCTCAGGTGAGTGCCACCATTGCTCTGTTTTGAAGGGTCTTGACTGTTGTATTGTCAAGGTTTAGTGTGTTGAAACGGCAGCCATGGCAGATGTATAAAGGCTGAGAGTTGAAACAGGGGTCACGCTGCTATTTTCCAGCAACACAGAGGCTCTCGCGCATTGACCAGCAGTGGGTGTGCCATAAATCCGTAAATCTTTCTGGGGAGCAGATGCACCACGTCTTTTCTTTGTGTGAGTGTGTGTGAGGGAGGCAGTGTTTAATGAATTTACATAAAGCTAGATTTTAAAACTCCATCAGATATGTTGAAGTGATTAACTGTCAGAGCTGGCAAACATTTCAGAGCAGCTTGGATCTATACTCGTGACGCTGGACATGATGGCGTGCGTAAACTTTATGTCACCATAACGTCTCGCTGAGATATTCTTCATTAGCCTATTTACTGCATCGTTGAGGTTTTCAGAAATGACAGTCATTTTCACGCAGTTCAACACGTCACATGAGGCCCAGACAGGAACTAGATTGAGTTATGATTATGAGATTCACTTTTCATTAGCACAAGTGATCTGAATATGGGATCCGTAGACTATAGATCCACAATTACGCGCAGGTTAAGTGAAAACGCGCTCTTTTTATTGCATCTTTTCTCTGGAAATGAGTCCCTGCAGAATATGTGGACACATGTTGCATTTCTTCTACAGTCATGTCATGTGGACAGCTGCTGGAGTTCCACTTGGAATTACATTTTGGAGTTTGAGATGAAACTGATCATTTCAAACTAAAAGGCACATTTGATCTAAAATCAAAGGGCCACTTTATTGTAAAATATAAACTACAAGATTTTAACCTGCTTTCATATCTTGACTCACATTTTTCATGAAAGCAATATTATTTCAATATCTTATTAAGTAGGATTGTTGTGGGTACTAAAACGTGCCTATAATTTCAATAATCATCAATTAAAATAAATCTTTAATAGTAGATTAAAAAAAGCTCCCATTCCTTTTGTAAACAAAGTAACTTTATTGATATACACATTTTAAACAACAGGAGTTGATCCAAAGTGCTTTACAGTTGTTTATTCGTCAGTACAGATATACATTATTAAAGAAATAATGCAATAAAAAGAAATTAAACACCTTCAAAACAACTATAATGAAACACTGTACATCAGATTTCACAGGTGCACTATTTCAAACTATTTGTGGATACAGCAACATTATTTATTTCAATTGATGTCCTGAAAAACATTTAATTCTCCTGAGTAAATAAACAAAATGTTATGTCATCGTCTCAGAGCTGCTGGATTTATGTCATCTGCCCTCCACATACAGGCCAGGCTGTATGCTACAGGCTACATCCTGCCTGTGCCATAAGCTACACCCAAATTAATACAATATGTTAATACACGTGCTTATGCAAAAGTCAGGACTTGTTTAGGAAATTGACAGTGTGTGTCTTTCCCTCACTTATGAAGTACAGTGTGCAAACTCTACTCCTTTCATTTCACTCTGCATTGTTTACAGCAATATAGGGCAGCGGGCCCATAAATCTTCCGCGTGCTCTGCAGAGACAGCGCCATTTGTATGCACCGTTTTAACCGACAGCATCCTCTGCCCATTAACGTCTTCTCCCCGGCTCTCTCTCTCAGTCTGCTCTTATCTGCACAGCTCTGTCCCCTGCAAATACATCCACTGATCCGTGCATCCAGCTCTGGATACCATTTATGTTTATTTCTAAGATTAAGGAAGATTTAAATCATGGAAAAAAAAAAAAAAAAAAACCATTCTACATATGTAAGAATTGTGTTGCATTCTGCAGATTCTCTCCCTGCATGCTGCAGATACTTTCCGTTTTCCTTGCACGTTATTTGGTATGAAAAATAAAAGTGTATCGACGATTTCCTCGCCTGTTTGTGTCAGCAGGCGAGAGAGCGCAGAAGGTAAGGAGGAATTGTAAAAGGGTTGACACCCAGAGCGACCGGCGCGCTTTTGTGTGAGAGAGAAAAATGATTTATTGCCACCGAGGCGGTTCAAACAGAGTTCACGGAGAATTGTTGTGGAGGCGCGGAGGAGCTAAATTATGGGCTTGCTGAGCTAGTATATCATAGATTCTATCTCACATTCAAGAGTGTGTTCAAGGGTGTGAGGCAAGGAAAACAAAAGCAATTTAATTATTTTACCCATTTCAGTGACGGCTGATGTATGCTGCTAATTCACCCGTTAATAATAATAATAATAATAATAATAATAATAATAATAATAATAATAATAATAATAGTAGTAGTAGTAGTAGTAATAGTAGTAACAATTGGCCGATTTAAGTTCACAATACCTGTACAATTAAATGTAACATTCATTGGAGAGCCTAATGTATTGTAAACAATCAGTTTACCATAATTAAAATCTAAATATTATTATTGACAACAATGTCATTTAACAGTCATTTAAATGCTGATACCTGTTAAACATTATGCTGTATGGGAAGGGTAACAGCTGAACATAAAAGCGTCTTTGTACTGACCTAAATAGACATTTTAAATTTAAATATTTAATTTATTGTAAAAAACAAACAAACAAAAAAAACATATCCAAGGACATGACTCCTGTGTGGAGGTTCAGGTGAAGCCTCAGTGATGGTGGCATAGGGGTGAAACAGAAAAGGGGGAAGGCTCCTCTTCTTCAGCCTGAGTGCATAATCCATCACTGCAGAGAGACATCTAAAGAGGGTCTTCTCGACAGCTTTGTTGTAGTGAAACACCAGAAGGAACTTCTATCCAAAGCCTGCTTCTGCCATAAGATTGATACTATCACAGGGTATAAATGCTATGCTAATAACACAGCCTGCAGAACACTCCTGTTTTGGATGCACTTTTTAAAAATGTGTGAGAGCTTCATTATTTTAGTTATATATTCACTTTGCGCACTTTGCATTGTTGAAATTAAGAAATAATGTTTTATGAGATTTTTTTTTCTTCCAAAGTTTAACTCAGTTAGGCCACACTTGATGAAGCTTTAATCCCAAAGTACTCCCCAAGAATATTTATTATGGTGGTTTAAAATAAAGTTGTAAAATTCACTTTTTTAATTTAAGTGCTTTGCACCTTTGTTTGCAAGTTCGTGTATTTCTTGTGTGCTGTTACATTGTAAATGAAAACTGGTGAACATATATGCAGCATCTCCTCTTTGTAAGCGGAATGTTTATCATCTAAGGTTTCTCTGACACACAGGGACACTCCAGGCCTACTTCAGTGCAGCCTTATTAATGCAAATACGTTGTATCCTCCTAAAGAAAAAAAAAAATCTCTAATGATTGCCTCCTTTGTCTTTGTGTGGCAATGACTGTCAAGCCTTTGTTTGACCACTCCCAGTGAATCTTATTAAAGCAAAGCTGCACTTCCACTTCGTCAGTTAAAGCATATGCTGTTATTTAAAAAAAAAAAAGAAAAGAAAAAGCCCGCCGGTTTTTAAGGACATTTGAAAAGTAGCAAACTATGTTATCGCAAATGATCAAAATAATGTGTTTGGCAGACAGACAGCAGCACTATTGCACAAAGTCGATGGTAATAGCAGTTTAGAGTATGGAAATAGCCTACGGAATAAATACGTTTTATATCTCTATATTTAATTTGGAAAAATCCACCGGTGCACCATGTATTTTTTCCGTTTTAAAAAAAAAAAAAAAATCTACAAAATAACAATGAGTTTTTGTGGATAACCAGTTATTATCCAGTAAAATGTTCCAGGTCATAGTCGTAGCCCTACTGGAAGGAGCTCCTCGCCCGGTATCTTAAAAATAAAACCTACCATGAAAAGTTCAGGGTGTGCAGCTCCGAGTAATAAACGTGTCCTGTCAGGAGATTTACAATAGTACAAGAAATCAATGCTCTGTTAGAAACAATCCGTTTTCTCACCACACATTGTAATCTCTAACTGTCCCCCCACACCCCCCCACCCCTCTCCTTCATTGTTTCTCCCCCTCCGTAAACACATCTAACTGTGTCTCTCCTTCTCACTACACACGTGTTGGCGTCTATTCATAATCCTTTATATGTGTTTCTATCCCTATAGGCAAGGATTCGCAGGCTGCAGCTCATAGAAATGTTGTCTGAAGAAATATCGCAGAAGCTTCTTCGGGCGTCCCAAGTTGCCAGCGGAATACTTTGCAACTCCAGAGCTCTGCTATTGGAGGAGAAGCCCACGTGACTACGGCACCCTTCTGGTAAATATTATTCAAATGCTCCACATGGTTACTCCAAGTGCGCTTCCCTGCATGTCTTTCTCCATTCAGGTTAATTTTGATCTGATATTAGACAGACAGAAGTCCTGGTCTTAAGGGCTGTTGAGGGATTTCTGTTTTTTTATTTGAAACAGTTTGATGAGTTCATGGACCCCCAACAGTCTGCCCTCCCACTGCAGCTGCATGGCAACAGTTTAGCTATGGGCTCTGGACAAGTGCCAGAACTGAGCCTTGGATACAATGGAGGAGGAGCAGGCCAAGAAGCAGAACTTAATCAGCAAAACATGACCTCCTCTGCTACTGTCAGTTCCAGGTTGAACCCAGGTGAATGGTTTCAGAGTCCTCTGGAGCCTCTGGGTCACCGCCATGCCAAGGACATGCTGGACATCAAGGGCAGGAGCTGCAGTGTACTAACCATCTGCCACTCAGGAGTCATTTTCCCCTGGATGAATCCACGGACGACTGACTCTAAGCAATCTGGTAACTCCGGCTTTGTTTATTAACTTTCTGCAGCTGTAACTAATGGGACAACAAATGATACACAATTACCCTAGGTACTCAGATGTGCTGAATCCATTAATCCTAATATCACTTTATAAGTCAGACTTCTTGTTGCATGAACACACCTCCTTACAGTCCTTGTCATTCATACCTGATTACAAATTTATGGCCAGCCTAAGTCTCACTAGTCAGTACTTAAATGTGTCACCTGCATCATTTATTATGCATAAAAGTAGTTTTACCAGATGTGCAGGCTGTTTCCTCTCTCTACTAGGTTGATTAGATTTGTATTGGAATTAGTGATAGTGTTACAGCACAGTTAAAATGCACAAATGTCACACAAGTCAGTGGGCTGCCTGTAGTAGTTTGTTCTTCTGATTCTGAGGGGGAATCTCGGGATCTTATTTTTTTAATGAGTAAAATAAACATAACCAGTTTTATTATCCCTAACACAATCATTCAAAGTATTTGGAAAAACATCTGTCCTTATAGGTAAACACATGTGTTTATTTAGTTTTGTGGGATTAATAAAGGTTTATCCTATCTTTACTTATTGTTTAATATGATTGTTCTAATACATTTTACAGCTAACCATTTCAGTTAGAAAAGATTGTAACACAAAAAGTATTGAACAATAACATTTTTTAAATATTTATTGACATAGCAGTAGCGTTGTTAGTTTAACAGCAAATATTCATAATGTGAAAAGACAGCAGGGTGAGATTTGTCGTCAGAAAATGTACACAACAAGATCAGAAAAGCGATGAGACAAACTGCTTCTTCACGAGAGTTCCTCAAAATTAAACAAATCAAAGGGCTCCACAGAGTAGCTTTAAAAAAAGAACTAGACAATAATCCCTATTTTAGAACTACAGTCTAGCTGGCATACAACCAGGAAGCTCTCGTCTGGCAGAGTGTTGTAACAGTTTCCTCTTTCAGGTCACTTCAGGCCTTATTAAGTATCATTAACCCCTACATGTCATGTTGTTATCAACAGGGCCCCGGTATCGCTCATATACATGTCAAATGGAACCTCTAATGGTGGTTATTTTCAGTGCTGCTCCCAAGGTACCTTTTAAGTGACTGAGATGGGGATTTGACAGGTCTGCTTCCGCACAGAGCTGTGATTAATGTGGCCTGTCAGGCTGCTGCAGTGGCGTCAGATGTTTCCCCCAGACTGTTTCTTCGGGAGGTAACTTTCCCCAAACACATGAAACAGTAGACAGTCGCTCTTATAGACTGTCTCAGCCTGAGTGACTACACAGGAAGAGCTGAGGGCTCCTACTTTGTCCGCGGCTGATTTGGTGGAGGATTAACATTGAAGTCCTTCAGTGGAGGCTGTACATTTCAGGATAGACTTGTTAGATATACTGCTTTTAACACCTTCTTATTTATGTGCTTCTCTCCTTCATCAGTCAGTGGAGGTGTGGTGGCGGCCAGTCAATCAGGAAGAGGAAGCGCCAGAAGGGAGAGGACAGCATTCACCAACAGCCAGCTGCTGGAGCTGGAGAAGGAGTTCCACTTCAGTCCTTACCTGTGTCGCCCTCGCAGGAAGGAGATGGCTGCCGGGCTGAGGCTTACAGATCGCCAGGTTAAGATCTGGTTCCAAAACCGCAGGATGAGATACAAGAAGGAGCACAAGAATGCAAAGGTGGCAGGTTTGTCCCCCTACAACCCTTCTACCAGCTCATGTGCAGACCTCCTGGGCTTTTCAGACACATGTGTTGTAAGAACTTCCTCCTCTGCAGAGCTGCACTGCGTGGATTATGCTCCTGTTGCCTGCAGCATTGGTCAGTGTTTTCCCCCTGCACATCTGACCCATCAGAGCTGCATACCTCCATCTGTTGGTCCACCGCTATCCTGCATGGGCGGTGATAGTCATCACCATGCCAGCATTTCAAACTGGCCCTAGAGTCCAATATTGGGGGGCTCCTGTGCTCATCAAAATCGTCCACTTTCACTTACTTATGAAAGACTGGAGGATGTCTGATTTGCCTCCCTGGGCTGAAATCCCCAAACACACATGTTCAGCATTCATGAAACATTTTAATTAAAATATGTGAATGTGTCTTAATTAAAGGAGAGCTGCAGTCATTTGTGTTACTCAGGCTCAGAAACTGAAGAATGCAGGTCTTTAAACGTGCTGTATATACTGTACTTAAAAAGCATGCACAAGATGTTCAATCAATTTTTAATGACGTGGGTTGCTGTAATTTTGTGGCTTTTATGTTGTTGCATGTTAAATGCATGCGGGAACCAAACAAGGAGCTGGTTTTCTATTTCCCTCTGTTTTCATGTCACATTAGACCTCTTTCTTCATGTACTTTAATCAGCCGACCACTTGTGTAAAATGTTTAAACTGTGAAATGAGCAGAATAATGTTCACATGGAATGATGTTTTTATTTTTGTTACAGCCATTAAAAGAAACAGTGAGTCTTTGATACAGTTTCTTGATTAATTGAGATGTCTCATACTGTACATGCTTATTAAATGCATTTGGGAAATCTGCAGCTCTTGTGCACTGTTTACTTGATTCATTGCTGATTACAATTACAATTTATTCCCAGTGATATTTCATTACCAAGATTTTTTTTTAAATTAGATCCCACATGGAAAAAAATCACGAGAACAATTCTGTAATCAAATTAAGGCATACCTCAGATTCATTGAAAACTCTTCAGTATTGTGCTTTCAGGTTGCACAATTCTGCCACACAAACCTCTCCCTGGCTCCTGCCTCTTGAGTTCCCTGCCATTAATCACAGAGACAAGGCGGTCTTTCCAACACTCCAACCACATGCTCTGAACCCACTGGGCACCATGACAAGATCTCCTGCCTCCTCCTTTCCCAACCCCTTGTCTTTTCAATAGCCAAATTGCAGAGCTGCAAGTTGGGGCTGGCCTCCTCAGGGGGCATGTTAGCCATGTTAACTTAGAAGCCATTCCAGTCCACAACATACCAATGAGGTTCAGTCACTAATGACAACAGATTATCTTAAAGGACAATGAGGAGACTTTCCTAACAGCATCCACTGTGACATGTAGATTCTCAAAAGATTTCCTGGAAAAATAATTTTGATTTCAAACTTTCGACTCTTGCTGAGCTAAATTAGGCACACAGGGGCTCTCTGCGTTTATTTGACAGAAGTGGGTCACAGACAGGCTCTCTTGGGTCTCATCAGATTTGCAAGTCAAAGACAGACAGCAACTCTTTAATGATGGAGGAGTAAACCTTCTCCTACACCCGCTACCCTGTGCTATACACATTTCTAACAAAGTTGCACACATTTTATGATGACAGCTTTATATCAGTGTCCTTACTGTAAATGAGCTGTCACTGAGGAATACTGACAGCTCTGGAATGGAGGAGCTAACCAGGAAGCTGATCCCCTAGTGGTCCTGGTTAGAATGACTTCCTTGCTCCTAATTTATTGGCTAATCAGCCTGTGGATCAGCTGTCATTTGGTAAATATTTGACACCATTTTTCAGCAGGTCTCAGTAGGGACCAATGGGAGCAATGAAGCAGCTCTAACCCTGTGGAAAATCTGAATAAAATAAAGTCATGTCTACAACCACATCTGCATCAAACAGGCGGTGACAGCTGGGTAATTTAAGAGAAAAATAATAAAGGCAAGAGCGAGACGCAGGAAATAGTTCTCCCCGTTAAATATATTTGACTAAAAGTGGGGGGGAGGATTGTGAGCAGTAGGGAGAAGAAGAAGCAGCCAGTGTTGGATTCCTGGGATTCTTGCATACACTAGGTGATTTATGGTGTTAATGGAGCTGAGGCTCAATAGGACCTTTACCTCTGGTTTCTCTACACACTAAAAGCAGAGAGGATGCACACACACACTGATGCACACACACTGGAGTGCAGTAATTCTGAGGATCGGGTCAAGGGGGATCCCCAGAGGTCAAGAAAAGCACCCCCAAGGGCCCCCCTACAAAGGGGGAGACATTACAACATTAAGTTAGCCGCTTGTTTTCACCCTATGCTTGTTCCTAGTTAGCAACTAAAGTCATTATTTCCTTTTCACTCACTTGACCCCCCCCAGGTTTGATGACATCTGTTATTTAGGGAGGGGGGATCTGCAAAGCCAAAGCTCTGTACATGTTATGTTTTTAAATTCTTAGCTTTGATCAGACTGGAGCGCAGCATTAAGTGGATCTTTTTAGTGATAAATAACGCCAGCAGTGGTGCCATGAAACCGGCTTTGGTTACGGTCCATCATTAATTTCTACATTTTTCTGTTTTGTTCTTTACAGTGACTGATGTACCACTGTCCCATCTGCAGCTGTTGCTAAAGTGAATTTTTTGAGGGTATGACTTGAAAAATGCTCTTTGCATCAAGACTTTCTCAAGCTTCCATGAACAAAGATGACAACTCTTCAGTCTTTGCCCCTTTATTTAACAAAACTAAAGCCTGGAGCTCATCGTGTTACCATCACAGTAAGCTGCTGGTGTCTGCTCGAGTTTTATGTTATGACGAGGTAATTCCATTCATTGTATGGGGATTACTATCAGAGGAAATAAGTGAAACTAGTAATAATAAATGTCTATATGGCAGCCTCGGCTCTTATAGATGGGTATGCTCTCAATGCTTATTCTCTTATTAGTTTGTTGGGCTAAATCAGAGGATCATGAACATCCTGGAAACTCTGATGAGGACTCCTTTCACTGGTTTGGTTTGGTTTATTTTCAGCAGGTGTTTTCTTTTTACATTTTACACCACAATCCATACATGCACAAATATACATGACCAGACCCTGAGCACTTAACAACAGTACACTCAAACACAGCATCATTAAAGCACAAGAAGAGTGACACCATTATAAAGTGATTAAGGAATCATCCCCAGGTATGTAGGGGAGCTAAAGCTCCTAGTGCACTACTATTTGTAAATCATACAACTCACTTGACATTAAAGCTGAATTCATGAAAGAACAGCTAATGGATCCGTTTTTATGTACAATTCAAATCACTTCAGAATAAAAAGTATAGCTAAAGGAGCCCATCACAAGGCAAAAACAAACAAGAAACCAAACTCTAACACTTGAAAATTTTAGAAAAATAAGGAATTAGTAACATTTTAATACACATAGACAAGAGGAAAAGTTGTAATAGCTTATGTTTTATTTTTTTCTACTATTTACTCTGATTATTTGTGTGTTACAGTTGTTTAAATAAGTGCAAACTTCATCCTATCCCCTTTAAGACGTGTTCTGTTTGCTTTGTGTTGAGTATGGCACTCATTTTTGTTGTTTAGGTTCACTTATTTTCCATCCCTTTTCTTGCTCAGTTATTTATCTTCTTTTCACAGAGAGTGTTGTCTATTTATTTGAGTTCATGAAAATTTACAAGATTGACACATTTGCAGAAAACAAAATCATGTAATTTAAAATACATTTGACAGAGTCATACATGTTATACTTCTATGAAGAATTCAGAATATCCAAATACAATTTAAAAAAGTTAAAAAAGTCACACATAGCATTTGTTACATTCTGTCTTCAAGAACCTCTTCATTAAAATGTCAATACGTTAAAACATTGAAAGTCTCTAATATAATTTTCAGATATTGAAAAATGATGATTCCACTTTTCACCCATGAAACATTGCTTAGCAGAAGTGTATTTTGGATTTAGAATGATGGTCTTTAATATTGACTTGAAGATTTCTGCATCATAAGTGTCTTAATAAGATGCTGGTCCTGTTGTATTAGATGCTAACAGTGGATTTTTGGGTCAAAACATTGAACAATGGACTACGTTTATTTAAACATTAAACATCAACTTTCCAAAAAAAGATTGAATTCAGACTCATTGATTTCTCTTAGTTACAGTATTATATGTAGACAACGAAGCATGACAAACTGCAGGATAAAAACACTCAACACCAAGTTCATGACAACAGAGACTCTCTGTATGTTTACTATGAACTGGATACATTCTTCCAGTATTAAGGGGGGGATGGAGGGGGGCTTGTGAGTGGTGGACTTGGTCATCTTTCAACCAGAAAGTAGGGAGTGTGAGCCAATGCTTCTGCAGCCACATGTCGAAGTGTCCTTGGGTAAGACACTGAACTCACTCGTATAGCTCTCAAGTAGCACAGCCAGCAGTGTGTGAATGCTTATAAATAGGATTAGTTAATACTGTCGGGCACTTCACGTAGCAGCCTCTGCCATCAGTTAGTGAATGGGTGTATGTGACCTATAGTGTAAAAGCAGATTTGGGTAGTCTAGAAGACTAGAAAAGTGTTATACAAGTGCATCTATATTTTCCAAAATTGGTAAAACTAATAATTTGTATTATTGGTGTTTTTTTCTACTGGGGCCTCTTCTTCTCTTTCAAAAGTTTGGTGGATCACAATTTCAAGATTACGATCAAGTTTGGGACCTTTCTCTTCAGTTTTATTTCAAATGATTAAGTTCTGGAAGGGACTGATTTGTATGATGAAAACACTCTAAGTCAAATCTTCCTATAGTGTGTCTGTCAAATGTAATACTTTGGTCCATTGTTGAGCCAAACCCTGAACTATATGTGTGGCCTTTAGGAGCTTTTGTTCTCTTTATGACCTATTAACCTTCTCAGCGTCTCCCTCCACAGCAGTAAGTACTGCCCACCAGTCTCTCCAGGTGCTTGTTGCTCAAGATGATTGTTAAGTATCAATTTCCTGTGTCACCTTTATGGCTTTTATTTATTTGTCTGCTCCTCGGTGTGGAACAGAGCCCGAGCATTAGTCAGCTAGATGGATTATAACTCAACTGCTACGACTCATCAATCTCTGAAATTTGACTTCCTGAATCTCATACAACTGTTACTGTCATATTACGGCCAGGCATTATCAAGATCAATGACATTTTAAATGCTTCCCAGTTAAGGATGATCGGTGACAATAAAAAGGTAAGTTGGTGATGAAAGTGTCTCCGCTGTGCGTATAGTGAGAGTCACCTGCAGGAGAGCTGCAGCGGTTAAATGAATGAACTTGTAATCACAACAGTCACCCTGCTAAATGTCACATGTTGACCATTATTGAGCAATCAAGAAGTATTTAGCAGCCAATGGCTTTATCACACTGAGTACCAATCAATGCTCACTTTCTTTGGGTTGCTCTCGTCTAAAGCTGTGTGGAAAAATCATACCGACACAAGACTTATGACTATAACATCTGCAGCATGAAAATATTTTAGATACATCAGACTATGTTTAGATGACGGTAAAATTCATTATTTTTCAGTCTTGCCCATTTTAAAAGCTCTCAAAAATATACTAAATATTGGTTAAAGTGATTGATATCCTATAATATTATGACAATTGCAGATGCCATGTTTTAAAAAATAAATCCTGTAAAATGTTTTAGAATAGTCTTAATATATGCCTTTCCATCTATGCTCTAGTTTTGACAGTACTTTCCATGCAACATTACACCATATGTACTTTAAATTCTGCGTTAAGAATTATTTAGGAATTACATTTTCATAATATGTAATGGAAAAAAGTGTTCATGCAGATCAAATACATAAAAAAAGAAATTGTCCAATTCCCCTGTATAACAGCTTTGTCTCTCTGTCAATTTTAACGTTTTGTTGTAATAGGGTCCACTTCAACACTATTCTACATGTTGAGTTTCAATTATTGTAGAGGGAAGTCAAACAAGCATTGAAAGAAACTAACAAGTGGTTAGATTTACTATTGTAATGGGTTTTTTTTTTTACACAGACAGCAGTTGGCTCAGTTGGACAAAAATAATAAGAAGGTCAGCCAACATAACACAAATGCTGAATCAGAGATATTTGCAATCGGACATTGTTATTTTGTTGACTACATGAGTAATTTGAGTCAAACTTCAAATGCTTAAACTAAATGTTTCTGAAGTAGGAATAACTCATGCTGTGCAGCCAGACATTGTTCCAAGATAACTTTGTTTTAATATCTACTGGAGAGAACAAAGTTTGCAAGATGCACAACATGTCAGCCTTAATTTGGGGGGAATGAAACTGATGTCTGGGACATCTTGAATATTTCAGTCTGATAGATAATGCAGCCTTTCATTTTAGCATTATTGAGTTTGAATAATTTACTCAACGTTAACATATAGCTTTAATTACAAGATTACATGTTTTGTTTTTTTCCCTGCAGAAATATTCCTCCCCGGACCTCACCAGAAGATTGGTGCTATACTATCACTGTGTCATTTTTCTATCAGCATTTTGGTATTAAGCATGATTAGCATTCACAGTGCACTGCTGATTTACTCTGTGAACTAGCAGGGGATGTTTAAGCAAAAGAAGAAAAAAAACACTCCTCTTTCCCTGCAGAGAAAACAATGCTGTATGAGGGAGAATATTAGCTAATGTGCTGCAGTGATGAACATTTCCTCCTGTTTCATGTTTAACCCTGCTCATTTCCCACAGTAAGAACTCCGGAAACACAGAAGTGTGCGCAGCAGCTCTGGGGGAAGATGACTGATGGCTTGTTGTCATGTTGTTTGGGATTGTGCCGACGTGGAGCCTCTTGGCTCAGTGAAGCTGTGAGGGGCTGCAGATACATACTACAGGCTATAGCTGAAAAGTCCTGGTATTAGCACAGTATTGCTTCATTGTCACACTGTTGAGCCTGTGCTGAGTGCACTTAGCTGTATTGTCCCCAGCCATTTGCACAGCACTGGATTTATGATTAAAGTTCATGTGCTGTGACAGATTTCATCACATTTAACCAGAAGGAAAGGACAATTAGAAGTTATTCAGTGACTGGATGTTTTTAGAATATTTTGATTGTATTGTATGCAAAGAAAGAAAAAACTATAAAAATAAATAATTACTTGCAAGACCTCTTGCATCCATATAACAAACACTACATGGATTATGGAGCATAGAAGGGGTTTTCTGCAGTACCACTCATTTAGTGTACACATATAGGCAATATCTTTAAAAATATATCATTTTTTTACAAGTATATTATGTGTTTTATTAAGAGAATACAGAATAACTAATGCAAATGGTCTTTTTTGGACATGGACAGTATATTTTGTCCATTGTTCCTTTTGCAATGTAAAATTGATTAATCTTTTTTTTATAAAGAGTTGACCCTTTCTAGCAGAATTTTCTGTTTTTAAAGTTATACTCCCTGGCTTGTGTGTGGGCTAAACCTCCTCTGACATCACAATTTTTCACAAATGTCAATACTTGAAAAACACAGACATGCTCTATCAATCATAAAGATAGCCATCTCTCAGCCGGTCAATGTGCCACACTTGAATGTCTGCGCTGACCCTCTCTCTCCCCCTCTCCCTCTCTTTTTCTCTTTGTCCCTCAGCCACATTACAGCTCTATCCTGATGCTGCATTGAAGAGCCTGAGCTCCATAAACATGGCATAGATGACTGTCATTTTCCCCGTCCTGGAACTACATTAACAGCTCTGACCTCTCTGACTTGTTGGTGACACTCGTCTGTCAGCACTGCTTCATTCCCAGTCTTGTGAGGGTCAAGAGCCGACACATAATGAGGCCTGACAGTGTTGGAGGGTCTGATGTCAGTAGAGGTAGCATGGATAAGGGTTCAGTTCAAATCCATTGAGGTAATCTTAGCACGGACAGTGCTGATCCTAGGGCCTCGACCGCCTATTGACACACATCAGAGCATGGACGCAAAACAAATTAGCATCAGTCAATATTGTCTCCTGCCTCCCGACAGAGCCACACAAGAGCTGCCATCTTTACCTCACCTCCAGTCACAACAACGGGGAGGGTGATCAGGATGCAGAATGTCTGCACTCAGTTTTAGGAGAATGTTTTTTGGAAGGATTGGGGGAATCATTTCTTTTGTTTTTGTAATTGTGATGCAGAATTTGGTTTGAGGGAGATCAAATATTCAGCTAAATTGTGGGATTATCCTTTGTCGTATTTCTATAGCCAACTCATCCAGAATGTGTGGTTTAGGGGAAACAAGCTGTCCTCAGCTGAATTCACTTGTGTGTTTTTTTGTTTTATGTGATAATATAACTTCTGTTGCATAAAAGTGCTGGTCAGTGATGTGGAACAACTCTTCAAATATGCTAATCAGACATATGGCACTTCTAGTAAGAAACAATGATTGCTGTTTTTGTCCTCCAAAATAAAAAGGTTACTTGGTTTTAAAAGTAATTTGTTCAAGGGCTGTAGGGAGATGCTGCATGTTTTTAAAAATCCGTTTGCATAGGGGGGAAAAGGAGAGATTGCTCACACCTGTTTTTTCTTCTTCTCTTCCCCTCTCTGCAACCCCTTCCCCTCCTCCCTCCCTGCTGAAAGCCATTACAGAAATACAATTTCTAATACCTCCGCACAGGTCTTCGATCGACTGCAAACAAATTTATATTCAGGCGGTAAACAGAAAGCTGCAGAGATTTATTTATTGAGTGTGGAGGAGAGAAACAAGCGAGCGCGTGAACCCTGAGTAACCTCCGAGCTGACATGAAGATGGATCAGCGCGCGCCGCAAATGCATGAAGAGAGGGGATATATTGCACTCAGTCATTCAGCACATCGCTGCCTGTAGAATCCCATTAACTCCCACAGCTGGGACCATATTTCTGTGTTGTAAGAATGCAGTTAGAAGTTGTTCATTACGCTGAATTATTTTGTAATTACTGCAGACTTAAAAGACATAGGGAAGATTATCGGAATAAAACGATAAGAACAGTTAACAGAGACTGTTTTTTTTATTATCAAATATTACGGATGGTGGTTATGTCCTGTTATCTGAAAATGAAATATCAATAACCTAATCATAATAGGCTAATAAGAAAAAAAAATGATTGCACGCATGTTATGGCTTTCAATCAACATACTAAATGTATTAATTATTATATTTTCAACAGATTGATTTGAGCATGCAGGGACGGGAAATAAATCATTCAAATTCATTCTAAATAATAAATAATTAAATAGTTAAATAATTTCAACATCATGCAAACATCATTTCTCGTCTGCCTGCATAATTTGTGCACAAGACTGAGCGACGTGAAACATGACTGAAGCTCGGAAATAAAATATAAAACTTGACCTTATTTATGAAACTTGTGTTGTCTTTGAAATTATTGCATTTATTGTGACTATGAGATAACATACATGAAGGTTAAGTTGAAAGAAAATAGTTCAACAGTTTGGATATTGTTCAACACATTTATTGGCTCTCTAAATTCACGTCTCTCCCTACTCTATTTATTTTCAGGTCGCGACACACTGATGTGTGTTTTTTAAAGTAGGTCACCAGACTTGAAAGAGAGAGAGAAAAAAAAACCCTGTGCTGCCATATGGAGCTATTTGACATTTTCACTCCTGTACTGGAGGTGATAACACTGAGCTGGCGGAGTTTTTGTTTATCGACTGCTGCACAAAAACACAGACTAAATGAACCGTTTCCAATGTCTTTAAAGTATATAGCCATGGTCATAAATATCTATCTTCTATTATTTGTGGATGCAGTAAATTCCTTTAATTCGTTTTTATACCCAACCTTTAATAGCAAAAATTCACAGGAAAAGTTACTCCTTAACAAATTTCAGGGGAGTGTTGTTGACATAAACACAGTCTGAAGTTCTCTCTTTATCAACCTACACCCTCTATTTTTCTTGGCGGAGGGACCGGGAGTTCTAGTGTCAGTTACAACTTCTTGATCTCTGCTCGCAGACATCTTTTTTTTTTTTGTATTTGTTCGAGGCTAATTACAAATCTGCTGCAACTGAACTTCTAAATACCAGCTGTCACGACCTCTGAACCCATTAAGTGTGCCTTTCTCATGACCTAAGCCCTTTGCTAAAGAGGGCCTCGGGTTTTTTCAAGGAGCCAGCGCAGATTTGCATAATCCATTAGCTGCTTCAATGTAGCTCTATATTATGCTAATTTACTCTTTGGGAACAGAAGTTTGCATTGTTGGCGTGAAAAATAATCATTATAGCAGAATTTGACCTAAAACACATTTCTCTTGGGGGCAAACAAAACAGTTCAGGACGCAAACATGTGTGACGTCACAGCCTACCTGTCTTGCATAGGTGAAAAGCACGAGAAGGCCCCTCTGTGAACGCTGATGGATTTTTAAGGACAAACGTAGCTTTCTTTCAATGCCACTATTCAGATTTTGACCTGAATTGAGTTTCCTCAGTGTTTGTCCTTTCTGATGACAGAGATGTCCAGCTATTGGCCGAGACCAGGAGGGCACGTCATCTCCATCAATCAGGAACTGCTGGTTCTCCTCAGAGGAATGTCCCCGCGCTCGTGCAGCCGCCTGACCACGCGTTACTGGATGCACGAGAGGCCATGGAGCGGGACCCCGTCCAATGATTATGCAGGAGGGGAGAGGTTATAATGACTTCCTATCAAAAGTTAACGGTCGAAGGGGAGAGTATGAGCCCCCTGCTCACGGGCTGCTGCCAAGCCAAAGAGGTCATAAACCTGGACCCCGATTGCAGGACTTATTCTGAACTCTGCGGCCGTGACGAGGAGGGGGAAGTTGCCTCTGGATTTAACTCTCCGCAGCCTCGGTACTTAACTCTCTCGAACAGTTTGACTCTGTGCTCCTCTTTGGACAGCCCTCCTCCTCTTTCACTCCACTGTGAGACTCTCGAGGGCTTCTCGGCACCGGCCTGCCCCCACTCGCCCCGTGTCCCCTGGCGGCGCAGGGCGCAGGGGCAGGGCTCTCCAGGACGCGGATACTGCGCATCAAACAACGACGAGACGGCACAAAGCGGGTTTGGATCACCCGCAGAGCAAATTCAAACCTGCTCCTATAATGACACAGGGTTTCACGTCGACGTGGGGAGTTCTGTTACTTTGGACTGTAACGCTGCTTTGGATGTAAACAGAAAAACTTTTGAGTGGATGAGAGTGAAGAGGAGTCAGCACCGGGCGGGTGAGTTTTGTCACGAGAGACTGAGCACGAAAGGAGGGAGAAAGCTTCCCTGAGACGTAAATTCATTCAGGAAAATGTGTTTAAGTTTTATTTTAAGCTTTGGGAAACGTCCAGTGATAGTTTGGAAAGTTTGATCGAAAGTTTTTTTTCATAGCGCTGGAAAGAGGCTGACGTTTTTTGCGTCACTGTGAATGTCCTCCGTCACAAACAAATGTTTTTGGTTCTTTTTTTTTTTTTACTATTCTCACTTTAAAAACAGATTAAACGCTCGGTATGTAATCCTAGCTGTTTACACGGCGCCAAATTTGAATATGCACATGAGGACTCTGTTATATTTCCTTAACGGTTCCATGTTAATGCCTGAGGTTATTTAACATGTTTGCTCCACCTACAGTCACACGCAGGATTTAGTCACACACACACAAGAGGATTGTAAAGTACAGTAAAAGCTGCTCAGCCACAGTGTATATTCAAGCCTGAAAATGATCAATTATTTAGCCATGCCCTTCCTAACCAGCAGCCTTTGAATAATGCATCAGACCAGTGGCTGTCGAGCCTCACAGGAAGTTGAGTAAAACTTACTCCTGTAAGCAGGAGTGCTCCCTGAGTATCGATTAGTTGTCTGTTTGTAATGAAAGCCCTTGTGTATTGATTTCAGTTTGCAGCACCTTTACATGTGTCCACCTTTTTAACATAATTGCTGTCACAGATCATCATTTCCCTGAGTGATGAGTCCTGGGCACAGAGCCCACAGAAGAATACACATCCCAGGCTTTAAATAAAAAAAATACAGATAGCCTCCTAATGTGAAAAATGCCTATCAATCCTCAATTGTATGTGAGTTATAGTATCCAATATAGATCCTTCACTTTGATCAATAGTGTCAGTTGACTGACTGGCCAATGTACTTGAGCTGCGTTTCATAAATTTTACATGGATGAAGATTTACTACAATGGTGGTCCAGTCTTTTTTTTCTTCTTCTCCACAGCACATTCTGTGTCTGCTGTGAGTGAGCTGCTGACCCAAATGTTCACTGACCAAAGATGCATGTCGGCCATCATAACCACAAACTGTTTGTGGTAACAAAAAAAAAGGAAGGCCTGAGTTCCTCTGCAAGCAGTGCAACAAACATAAACTTGCCGCAATATGCACATTAGTATAATGATCATTTCTACTCATGCTGCATAATCATCTCCCTTGATTTGTAACAAACACAGAACAAAGATTTCAAACTTTTACGCACAATACCTTTTAATTTTACTCAGAATACTTGAATAGGAAATAAGGCAGAAGCCCACAGAGATAAAAAACAGTTAAAAATCTAATTAGTTTGTAGTGATACAAGCTCTGAGGACTTGATTGATGCTGTTTTATCAGAAGCATTTTGATATATTAATACTTAAAAATATGAAACCATCCAAAAAAAAAAAAAACTTCACAAAACTCTTCATAGAAAATAAATAAATAAATCATTCAGATTTGTGGGTAGTCATGCGGACTCAATTCTTGTTAAACATTATTCTCATATTAATGCGATAGGAAAATGAATCTTTGGTTTGTTCATCATGTGATGCAGAAGCACAAACTGAAAAAAACAGAATATTTCAGATTATTGAATAGTGATGTGCATTTGAGCACTTTGAATAATTTTGTTATGATGCTGCTTTAAGAAAAGCAATATTAAACATGAATATCTCCAGATATTCTTAGAAATATCAAAAAAGCTCTAACAAACAAAAAGATTAAAAAAACTACCACTTCTACTTTTTGACTGCAACATATTTGAAATATATCAATGCAATTTGATGCAGAAGCACAAGCTGGAAAAAAACAATTCAGAAATCAAATTAATGGGTAATAATGTGCTTTCACACACATTGACAAATATTATTCTCAGGTTGCTGCTGCAGGAGGCACAGTAAGAGTCATTAACATCTGTAATTAGTCAAACATATTGCAAAAAGATGAAACAAACACAAAACCGCAATGTATAGTCTGTCATTTCCCACTTGCACAGACTACATATTTTAGATTAGCAGGTAAACATTTCAGTGATGATGCCACTTTGAGGGAGGTAAAGGTGACAAAAAACACCTTTGACTGATCTCAGGGTGATTTTATTCATAAAACACATTAGCCACTCATCTGATCTAAGTCTGTGCACATGAGGAAGCCATTTGCTCCCAGCCGCCCACTCACACAAAGACTTCTCCTAGCAGTACTGTTAGCATCTCTGTAACCTCTCCCTGCATCTCTCTGAAGGGGATCATCTGTAGGAGTAACTCATTAGCGCTACTGTGTAACTTGTAAAAGAGTCATTAGTGAAAGTATGCTTTCCACTGGAGCTTCTATTGGTTTTGGCACAGAACAAAGTCTTGCATTTTCTTCCTGGTTGAAAGGCCTCCACAGACCTGCAGTAACCTGATCTCCTGGCTCAGTGTATATACTCCCAGTGCGTCATTCTTCAATTATGCTTTGACAGCACCTGAATTACTGTGGGCTGGATGCCCAGATGACTGAGGCAATGTGTATCGATCCATCCCTTTTCTTCTTCTCCTCTCCTTGGCTTGGGAGGCCCCTTCCATTCCCTTTGCTGGCTGGCTATTTTTAAGCCTGCAAGTCATTCCTCAAATATTTAGTTTGATTCTTCTATGCCTTCTGGCCAGCATCAATTCTATTATCTTTGCAGCCATTTATCAGAACGTGCATGTGATTTGCACTACTGAAAGCTGAACTTCATAATTGCGTACAGCTCCTCTGTATTGGTTCTTCTTCTTCGCTGCCCTCTAATTCTCCGGCTCGCCCACCTTGACATTCATTTCCTTAAAACACAGATGTCGACATTTATCCTATAAGTGACCTTTCCATCTGCTATGCTTTTCCAAGTGGCTAGAGGCCTGTTAACCTTCCTCCCAATGAATTGTGGTGGGAGAGATCGCACTACACCTGGCACACTGACTCCATTATGTGGCAGCAGCACATTTTCAAAGAGGCAAACACTCACTGACGACTTGCCCACAATGTCAGCCATGAAAAATCAGGATCTAGCTGCGGCTCCTGTCATTCATTGCACATAAGCAGCACAGATGATACTTTAATGTGTGACCCAAAACCTCAGAGGAAAAAGAAGGAACACATTTGTCTTAAATGCAAAGTCTGAAAGGATTTGTAAACTGTTAAACTGTCATTGACACAGAAAGGCCTACAGGCATATTATTAATGATTCTGATGCAGTTAATGGACTGTAAACGCTGCAAAGTTTTTACGCATCTCTGACTATACTTTTCTGCATATCTTAAATATCATGGAACATTTTGTTCTTCTCTTTAGTGACCATGATGCATTTCAAAAGCAGCACCTTTACATTATGGATGTAGAACTTTTAAATCTTTAAGGTCAGAGGTGGCGATCTTAATCTGCATTAATTCTTCAGGCTTGCAGTTTGCTCTGTTGTTGCATGAGATTGCGTTATACCGCACAGGTGTTTCTGTTATTATGTCCACCCCAATAGATATGATTCTATTCCCCATGCACCTGTTTTACACCACCAAAAGGTTTCGCTCGTCCCTGTGGGCTGTTGCAAAACTTGATACAGTGGAGAAATACATCTACTACATCTACTTGATATTCAAACAGAATAATGGCTCCCAGGTGAAGACCTTAAATCAACAAACTGGTTTAGGGCAAAATCCTACAAATCCTAATTTTTGGAAATCATTTTAATGAATTCCTGGACATTTGATAAACATACCTGTTATTTACTCATTTTTTAAACTACCAGGTGAGTAGCAAAAAGTTTCATTACAAATATTTAATTAATTTCTGAGGAGTTATAAAAAAGTTATAAGGACATATTACTATTCAAATATTATAAGGTTTATTATAGTAATATTTTTCCTCTTATTTTTCTTCCTTATCCCTCGATTTGGGCGTGATCATTTTATACTAGTGTTTTTTTTTTTTTTTTTACTTCTCTTGCGAGTAACCTCATTTGCTCTTTCAATTCTGACTGTTTTCATGTCCTCTCTCCTCAGCCAGGATGCACATGACCTGTGGGCTCAGTATCATTGGTCCGGGCCTGGGTGCTGGACACGGAAACCTCTGCTCGGATGACCATCCCGCGGAGAACGGCACCCCGAGGACCAGCTTCAGCACAAGGCAGCTGACCGAGCTGGAGAAGGAGTTCCACTTCAACAAGTACCTGACGCGGGCCAGGCGCGTGGAGGTGGCCGGTGTCCTGCAGCTGAGCGAGACGCAGGTGAAAGTTTGGTTTCAGAACAGACGCATGAAGCAGAAGAAATTACAGAGAGACGGCCTGGTGATCTCAGAGCCGGTGCCCGCGGCTGCTCCGCACTCTAACACCATGGACACCTCCCCCTCTCCTGGACCGTCCTCTCCAAAACACCTGGCCCTGAACTACTGAGCCTGCAGATGTTTTGATTCCCGTTTGCATCGGTTTCAATCAGGCTGCACCTTTATTTGGTTATCACGATGGATGGATGCTTATCGCGAGAGGCGCGATGGCAAGTTTCTTCATGCAAGAACGGGTCACAACAATTTGTCATCGTCCCCGGCTTCAGACTGGCGCTCTGATTTGAATATTAAAATCCGAGTCATTCCATCGCGCTCCATGTCTACACAATGTAAACTAGGAAACAAAATAATATTAATTGTCCATACAAATGCGGAGGGACTCGTTTATTTATTTGTTCTTTATTCAGGAAGTGGCTTTACTTTTATCTATTTATTCTACAGGGCACGTGCTACCTGTCTTTTGTTTAAAATAACAAATGTATTTACTTATTTATTTAAGGGCTTCATTTGATCAAATTTATTTTATGGACATTGGATTGACTTTTGCAATTCATTCTCTTCTTGTCGTTGTAAGTTCTTGGACGAATTGATAGCCTAAGTAATGGATTTATTTTTTACATTTCTTTCTTTTTCTTCTTCATTTTAAAGTAGTTTGTGTCTTAAAGCTCACATTATAGAAAAAGCTAAATGCACCTGTAACATAGACAATTATCGTGCTAATTTGGCAGAGCACCAGGGTGCTTATTTAATACTTTTTATGTCCTTTTATAAACCAGCTTTTGTCCAGTGTTTACATTTTTCTTTATCCTCAGTCCCCAAAAGATTAAAACACCATGATTGACTGATAGATTTATCGACCGCTCGTATTAGGAGTATTGATCCGTGGTGATCCATCTATTTAAGGCAGAAAACTGGGAGCGTTTGCATGCATGTGTAACTGCACGTTAATGGAATGTAGAAACGTCACGATAGGGAGCTGTTGCGTCTTTTATTACCGCGATACATGCATCAGAAAATGATCATTTAGCCTGAACACTCATGCGGGAGGGCAGACAATAAAACGCTGTCTGTGCTGTTTTGCACATCAACCAATAAATTGCGCGCGTGGCCCCAGCAGCTCGTCAGCCTCATATAAAGTAAATGATTGTGAACCCGGCCCTTAAACACTGTTATGTTCCCGGTATAGCAGTGTGTTTCTGTCGTGTTAATGTCTATTCTAATATCTAGAAATGAGCCGTCAGACTAATTCTATGAAGGGGAATATTGTTGTTTAGCTTTCAATTAGCATGGTTTGCACTGGATATGAAAGTAATACTCTTTCCAAAATGGATATTAATGACAACACAACATGTAGGTTACAATGAAGCAACTGGGGAATGTGGAAAAATAAAAGCTACAAACAAAATGAATTAATAAGGTCTTTTAAATCTTAACAGGCGTCCTTGTGCACATAAAACCCTGCTAATAAAATAATAATTAGACAGTTGCACCTATGGGCATGCAGGCTGCAGGGCAAAGCTAATATATGCACTTACACCAGAGTTCACCTCTCACCTCTTGACCCTTGTCTTGCCTGGAGACACAGATGACCCGGTCATCTGCTCACAGAGAGAAAGATGCACCATTCATTTGTGTGACCTCCAAATCTGCAGCTTTTTCTCTTCCTTTATTTCTTTTTCTCATTTGATCTTTTTCACCAACAACTCGGCAAGCTTTTGTTCCTCTGCTGGCTCTCTGTGGCCACACAATAATATTTCATCAAGCTGAATAGAGAGGCGGCCAGGCCATATGATAATTGTTCATATTATAATTCCATACCAGACCTGCATAATGCATTTTTTTCCTTGCGCTAACCTAATTTTTGCCCTATCTCTTATTTTAATAAGCCAAAAAATGCTCTACTGTTTCACTTTATAAACTGGATGAAAGAGTCTTTTCACACAATAGGTTTTTTGGAAATAAACTGCAGCCCTATTTTTAATAATAGCAAAGTTGAAAAATTAAAGTTACTGGTGCATACTTAACACTTAATGTGATTTCAAGTCAGAGGCAGCAAAAAAAATAATAGAGAAACTATCCATTATATGTCTGCTTCTTATAAATTATTATGCATATTTGGTGCAATGATTCTTAGAGAAATGTATACATGTATCCCTTCCAAACTATATATTTGGAGCTTTTCTCATTAATATTAACAGACAGATATGCTTGAAAGTTTTAACTTGCAGGTCTGCAGAATAGCTTTTGACAGTATAAACATTTCAAAGTTTTTTTTTGTAGTTGATACAAATGAGTTTACATGCGTGCCAAACTAAAAACAGTGTTGAGCCCAATTTATATTCAATTTGCATTCAAACAAATAACATCCATTAAGGCCGAGTCTCTCTAAACAAATAGTACAAAGTGGAATGTTTAACAAAACCATCAAATGTGTTCCTCCTTTTAATGCAAATAAGAGTGCACTCATGAAGGTTATGAGGATGATGATGATGAAATGTGATGACAAGCCTGGGAGTCTAAAAACGGTTTCCCATGTCCACCACTGTTCCTCCAGAGGAGAGGGGTAGTATGGCCTTATTACAAACTCTTTTATCATATTTAGCAAATTTGTTCCCTTGTTACAGGGCTTTATGTTACAGGTTGAGGTGTTTGATGCTTGCAGCAGGTGTGCACTTAAAAAAAAAATCCAAAATTACTTTATCACACTTTCTGCTGTATAATATATTCACATAGAAATACACACTGATTTAAAAAAGTAACAGTAAAATCTGCAGAGAAAAAAAAACTTGATGTGAATTATAGGGATTAGGTGGAGGTGAAAGAAGAGTTGATTTATATTGGGTGAACTATCACTTTAATTTCATCCTGTGGCAGCTTCAACATTTGCCTCTCAATTGATGGAAGGCGAAACCGCATTGTTTGTTCAGACCTGACATTTAGCTCCAAAGCTTTTCAGTGTGACTCTACTCTGATGAATTTGTGTTCTTCTATAATTCCTTCCTGAAGATGTACGGTTTGTTCACAAGACTGACAGCTGTGCTGCGCTCATACACATAAGGTGAATGAAAGGAAAAGGAAACCAAAATAACTCCTCAAAAGTTGTCTTCATCTTTATTTTTATTTTTTTCCTTTTCTTCACAGCAATAATGTCTCTATAGAACTGTGTTTGAAAATCTGCTGTAGCTCCTTTATTTTAATCAATAAGAAACAGTTTTTCTTGACAAAGTAGAAAAGCTTGAATATAATTAGTAAAAGTGAATTTACCTGCCTCATTTGTAAAATTAAAAGATATATTTTAGGTGTCAAACCTAAAGCAGTGATGTATTGGTTCATGATAAATGAGCATATCGACAGTCTCTGTTTAGGTTTTGTATTGCTGTGTGTGAGCTTATGCGGGCAGCTGTTACCGAGGAGCACTGCCTGGCATGAGCAATGACAGAAAATATGCACCTTACAGAATAACTTACATTTACACATATAAGTGGGTTCCCTCTGAGATCATTGTAATGAATGTATAGTTGACCTAAAATTAACTTAATGCATAATATGCATGTAATATGCTCACCGGTGCTCAGGGGAATGAATTCAATTGATCAAGTTAAGCTCTTTCTAACTCGATGTGAAGCACTTATAGATAGCTAAGTTGTTGTTGTAATTACACATCATTTGAATGTTCCATTTCAGCTTTCTGCTCATCTGATTTTACTGTTTTTCTTTATTTGCACAGACTTTCATGCACTATTAGTCTTTTTCACTGGGCTCATTCACATATTTGACTACCAAACAATTTGAGCATCAAGAAAGTTTAAATGAAGTGCACCTGTTTTTTTGTGCCAGTATGTGTACCTATGTACATTTGGATGCCCTGTGTATACAATTACACAAATATGAGTTTTGTTTCCTAGGTGCTACTAATAAAGCGCTCAAAAAGATACAAAGCACCAATTTGAATAATTGTCGAGCATGTACTCTCACACGCACGCAAATACAAACCCATACATAACACATTCTGACAACAACATGCACACCAATCCCAGTCCTTGCCTCTCCTCTCGTGCTCCACTCCAGGGAGCAGATGTTTGGGGACAGCTTACAGCCTCAGCGAATTTCTGTGTACAAAGCAAACAGGCGCACTCAGCACTTCTGGCTGCAAAGGGAAATTTGCTCTTGAAACAAGGGGAGGGGTGAGGAGGGGGAGGTGGCTTTGAGTCAATGTAAGGTATCATGGGGCTGGAAGAGGAGGAGGGGGGGAGGGGGGGTAAGGGTGAGAAGGGGTGCACACAGAGGTGAAAGTGTGTCAAGGTTGCAAGGCTGTTGTATAGGATAATTCCCTGTTTCCTGTTTGTGTGTCGGGGCGGCATCATGGACTGTACACGCGGTATCTCTCCGTGGTATCATGCAGCATCCGTAAAAATCAAACAAGGTGGCCCCTGCTACATATCTGATCGCGTGCCGTCTCTTTGACCTCTCCCAAGTATCTCTGTCTTCTCACTAGTTTGGATTGCCCTTTCAAAAGTTGCAGACATGCATAAAGTGAAGGGAAAAGAGGCAAAATAAGGGAATGAGCCTTTACAGAGTTTGCTGATACTGCATACGAGACACAATAACCTAGGAGAAGCTATGCTAATGATGCCATTGATATAATTCACTGATTTAATGGTACTGGTCCTGTGGCGGTATGCTGCATGTTTGTGCCCTAAGGAAAATTGCAATATTACTTTTTTGAAAATATGCTCTACTGGCTGACAATATTTTGTTATTGTATTTATATGCCTTTAAACTTAAGTGTTTGATATGAAAATACCTAAATAAATAAAACATGTTTAAATGCAGCTTTTCCACATAGGCTCTGCAAGATGCTCCACAGCATGTCATTATAAAAGGCTCAAACCTCACCGCACTCTTGTGTCTGAACATGACATCAAGTACAGACATTTTGACCTCCAATCAGTGTATTATAATCCCTAAACAAACCATCATAAATGAGCCCTGCGATGTGTATTTGTCTGAACGAAGGCATCACGCTCCTCCTCTGCCCCTGGGGTGAGGTTGCCATAGTGACAGATTCATAGACATATGGAGGAGAGAGGAGAAGGGGCGGGGCTCCATGGGGTGAGGTGGAGGGGGAGACAGAAGAGAAGGGGATGGGTACTGCGTTTGAGGACGTTGGCGCTCAGTCTTTCACGTCTCTTTGTGTTTCATATGTCAATCAGCCATCCGTGTCGGTCTGTGCTCAGCGAGGGAACAGTTCATGAACTTTTCTCAATCAAGTCTCTGTCAGGCGCCATCTTGGGTCTATCTCACGAGGGAGAGGATTGATTCTCACATAACCCCAAAAACACACTATGTGCAGGGGTGCTGCAGGCAAAAAAAATTCAGAACCAATTTTGAACATTAAATTGATTTGGAAAGAAGCTGTGTGCACATTCTGTAATTCTGGCCATTTTGCTTCATACAAATGACCAATCAACATCATCAAAACAAACATACAGATGTTTTGCTGCTCATTGATTTGATTCAGAAGACATAATAAACCTTCCAGCCAACCAGAGGACAGCTTGACAATAGAAAGGGTTGAAGCAAAGGAGGAAAAGCAAGAGAGAGGTGAAGGTGAAGCTGCCATCGGGACCGTCCTTGCTGCCATAAAAACATTTTTTCATCAGAAATGTTATGCAAAAAAAGGGGAAAACAGGTGCTCAATCAACTCTCAAACCTACTGATTTATATACTGATATTCACCCCTCCTAGTTATTCTATTCACACAATCATTCTGTGTCTTGCCTCAACCCGTACGCCATTCTTCCCCTCTTCTTCACTATTTCCATGTCATCCGTCTTCCCTCCTGCCCCTCTGCTGCGGCCTGCTCTCCACCTGATATGAGAGAGTGATCCTCCGGCCCCAGAGGTCAAGTGATACAAGGTCATTGGCAGGTCATCTCTGCTGACTGGCTGACCTCTAACAGGACGTCTGCAAGGAGCCAATCAGGCTCTGCTCCTTCCTCCCCTAAGGCGGATCCCTCTCCCCGGCTCATCAGCCGCCTGTGTCACATGACCAGGGTGAGGTGTCAGAGGGAGGATGATTAATGATGCTTTTAGTACCTGTTTAGAATGAAGCTGTCCACACCGCACTGTAATTACCCACTCCCAGGCGGCAGCTGCCCAACATAATTGCTTTTTGTTTGTTGACCTGGTTTATTGAAGAGAAAGATAGCTTTGGCTGGGTAAGATGGAGTTGGGTACACTATACGGTGGTGAGGATGTGTTAAAAATTTGAAGGACTGTGTGTTTGAAATACAGGTGTTGGTAGATATGTGTGTGCAGATAGCAGAGTTGAGTAAAAAAAAAGTTATAGTTAATTAAATCTATTTATATAGTTGGTAATGTAATGCCACCATAATTCAAAAAAGCTAAGAGACATGAAGCCTCTCATTTAAGGTCAAAGAAAGTCACACCTCATGTGCAAGTTTGTATACCTCTGGAATACACAAGCATTCAACATGCAAGAAGGGGGTGTGTTCTGTCATCCACAATTCATGTCAACATCTCAAAAGCTCAAGCACAGTGTTGTTCTGGAAATTCAAAACTAAGTTCAGAAGGTCAATGGAATACTGTGCCTACAAATCCCCCCTCCCTGTTTTGGCTGCATGCCTAAAGCAAATATGAAAATTTCAGTACCTGCGGCACGTGCCACGAGGACAGTGACAATGAAACCCAGATAAACAGCCCCTCGTTTGACCTATGGAGAGCATAAATTTACCGCCCATAAATCCTTAAGCGTTTCAGCTCTGTTTGGCGCATTTGCCGAGCCTCTCTACCCAGACAGAGAGAGGCAAGCATTCGGGTATCAGCTCTACTGTATGAGCAGCTTTCATCCTGCTCCTGGTTCTCACATAACTCAGTCCTGCAGCCTTTATCACCGCCTCATAAATAACTAGGCTATCGCCTGATAATGTCCGTTTAATGCTTAGTCAATAAAGCCCATAGTAAGAGGGGCCTTTTTTAGCCTCTCTCCTGTACATAAATATAAACAGTGCAGTAGATTGATGTGATGGGCAGGCTCTCTCTGCACTGGGACAAAAAGAGGTAGCATGTGGGCCCAAGAGCTGAAGGTGGGCTGAGGGGCTGCAGGTGTTTAGAGGAGATAGTGGGCTGTAATGAGGGGGCTGCAAGAGAAGGGCTGAGTGGATATCCTTGACTGATCACCTGTGAAAGGCACATATACACCCATATACACACAAATGATAGCACACAGACACTAACATGCACACTCATTCACACACACCCACACACACACTAATGCCATCATTAGTTAACCCATTGGCGTTGATGCCTGGTGCACAAAAGCTCATCCTCCCTATTTGAAGGGCATGTGAGCATTATGATAAAGAGACTTCTGAATGAACTTCTTTTTGTATCTTGTTAGCATCTTTCCTTAATCTATTGACACTTAACAAAAACAAACACATGCTGCTACCACAGAACGATATCCAGGGATGTATGTTTCACAGTGCAAGGACAGCTATCGACCATTCACACTAGTCGTCAGACCATCCAATTCCAGTGCTGATCCAGGGGCAGCTGTAGCCCGTCTGAAGGCTGGAATGGAATCAGACTGAGCCCTGGGGAGACAGCAGAGACTGACAGGGATGGTGCGAGGTTGAGCTAAGGGGGATGATTGTGATCCATGAGTTAGTGAGAGGAGCAGCACCTGGGCTCGGCGCAGCAGCTGGGAGAAATGGGTGATCTAGAGAGTGGGTTCAAAACGAGCGGGCTGAACCAATAATGTTGTGTTTTCGAAAATAAAATCCAGGTGAATTGTGTCCCAATATCAATTTGTGTTGTAAGAGCATGAAGTCAGAATATTAGAAAGACTTTGCTTTGGGGGTCAGTTGGAATTACTCCCCACAATCCACAATCTCTTTAGTTCATTTACAACTTTGAGTAATGCAATACATGTGTCATCTATGAAAAAGTGTCAATTCAAAATAGACTGAAAAGTACTTTCTAGGAAATTTTCTTTTTTACTTCTATTTTCAGACATAATATTGTTCTGAAATAGTAACAAAAAACAACAGACTTATTCTGCAAAATTATACTTAAAAGACGACACGTGGGTTTTATGCTTCTGAGATCAAATCCAAATAACAAGAAGGGAAATCCAGATAGCTGTTCTATCATTATGCAGCAATGAATTAGCAGACGGGGCAAGTCAACATAGTTTTCAAAGTTGTATGTGTTTATCGTGTAGGAACCAGGAGAGTCAATAGGTTATTGTAAAACATTGGCAGGGAATTGTGTTTTGGGGAGCTATGGGGAGGCTAGATTGTTTATCGCACCTGCTACAGTTTTGATGTAACAACTAATTAAAACACATGGTCGTCTATTATCACCGGAAAAAGAGATGTAAAATGCACATACATTTTTTTTACAATAAACTTACAACCGGTGGCCAAGCGGTTAGTTTGAGTGCCCCCATGAACAGAGGCTCCCCACTCTGTCCCTGATTTCTGACTCTCTCACTGTCCTGTCTCTTCAATAAAGGAATAAAAAGCCCAATAAGAAAGTACAATCAATTCAATAAACTGTGAGCAGAAAACAACTGCAATGCTGCTGGATTGAATACTAGTAAATAAATGTAAAGCACATGCACCAGATGTTAATATAGAAACAACAATACACAACTCATACTAGCAGGCAGCTGCCTAACAGCTGTAGCTGGTGTTAGCCCACACAGAAGCAGTCTATACTCAGCTCATGACGCTCTCTTACAGTATTAAGCAGCTTGTTCATATAGTCTGTAATTCTCTCCACAGTCACTATGAAAGCTAAACATTATAAACACGACAATATAGAAACAATGTTAGCTTAACACAAATAATATCATTTAACCAAAGTAAAAATGACCTTGTTAGACATGCTGCAGAGGGAAAAATATTCAGATGCATAAATTATGAACCTTGATTAAAGTCCATGCTTGCGGCTTGCTTATTGTAGGTGTTGGCAGACCAAAACACCGAAAATAGAACTTCAAAATAAAAGCAACATTATTTTTACTAGGCCTACATGAAGTGATGAAAAC